CAACAACAAAATTACCCTTATTTGGGTACCAGGCCCCATATGGCAGAGGCAGATAATTGGAAAGTTCAATCAGTCGGCCCTGAACCCTTTTGCGGCATACCAAATTGCCAAAAAACAGATCCATCAGACAATAGTTTAAAAATAAGTCCTCGAGCAATAGGATTGAAGGTCTTGTTAAGGTCCTAGTTGGGCATTTCCAATGAAAAGTAGTCAAGTAATTGGACTGCTAGAAGGCAGTAAAGGCAGCTACCTCAATGGTAGTAAAGTCCAGAGTTGTTTCATATCACCTCAAGACCCCCATCAGACATTGAGAACAACAACAAAATTATATTTGTTTGGGTACTAGGGCAGAGGGTCAACAAATAAACGAATCGGCCAAAGGTTTAATCAGGATACCTATCGTCTCTGAACCCTTTTGTGGTATACCAAATTGCCAAAAAAGTAGATCCTTCAGACAATAGTTTTAAGCACCTGGGTTGGGCACAAGTCCTTGGTTCAATGGGATTGAAGGTATTGATAAAGTCCTTGTTGGGCACCAATAAAAAATATCAAAGTACACAGAAGGAAGCAGTAAAGGCCTCATTGCCAGTAAGGTCCAGTTGTTTTGAATTGCATTAAAACCATATTGTGATGTTCTAGAATAGTATGGTCAGAAAATGACTTTGTGTGGATCAATCTGTCCCCAAAAATATCTAGGGAAATTAAAGTGGAGTAAAATTAAAGATAAAATAAAAATAAAATAAAATAAAGGAATATGCATTATACATCCCAGACTCAACACCTTTAGAATCTACTAGCTATCCCAGAATCGCCCATCACCAAAATTAATTAGAAACCAAAATCATTCAACTGTACAAATAAAAATTAAATATTATTCTAAACCAATTAAGCTAAAATTAAAAGACCACATACATGTGAAAGTTCTAGAACTAAATTTTGCCTTAAAAGAATCTTTAGGAGCCCTTCTCTATTAGCCAATGTCTTGGGAACTCCTGAAGGCCCTCAGTACCATCCTCGTTGTTCCTGCAATAAGGAGTCTGTCCTGGGAGGGGGGTCACATTGCCCCACTGACTCAATCCCCATTGCCCCAATCTGCATTAATCCCGTGGGTGATACTGTGAGGCATTGGGGCCAACGACAAAATTACACTTCTTTGGTACCAGGGCTGATAAATTGGCCAAGGAACATTCAATGAGAACACTTGTACCTAAACCCTTTTGATCTATACTAAATTGCCAAAAGACGAAGATCCATCAGATAAACAGTTAAGAATAAGTTCACGGTGTAATTAACAACAGAACTACTAAAGCTAGGATGTATTAGGACTAAAACGATAGCAGGACTGCTGACTGATCAATGCAGACTCCGTACACATTTGTAGACATGGAGCATCAAAACAAGCCTGTGTAGATATTGCTAAAAAGAAGAAGAAATAATGGAACGTGTCCTCTGTTGGTGGCTGTACAGGTTGAGATTCTTACTCTTGGGAGTGTAAAAGCCAAAGCCTGAAATAATCTTTAAAAAAAATTAAGAGCTCTAGGTAATAATGGAGATTTCACAATAGACCAATATTGAACGTGGTACCTAAGGTTGTAACAAGGCCGACTCTTTTGAACTGGATGTCCATGTTACATGTACATTCGTTCGAATTAAATTCATTTTTTTTTTTTTTACTTTCACTTAAAACACCTTTAAATTTTTCTATATATGAACCCTTGTAATAAGCAGACTATTAGGTGGACAGAATTTCATTCCTGGGTGGTGTCCGCTATGGGAAGTTCGATTGTTTTCACTTCAGGACTTTTGTCTGTCAGATTTTCCATCATTTCCTCATTTTTTTCTGGGTTAAGATATTTGTTATTACTTTACGTCCTGTCCTGGTGCATTAAAACTTTCAGTTAATATTTTTGAGATAGCTTAATCATAATTAGGCATAATAATTAAAATTTATGATTAGATTAGGCAACGTTAATGTTGCTTAAGTCACGTCTAGCCCTATCAGTATGCAAATACACTTTATTTTTCTAATTTGCTGGGTAATTTTTTATTTCATCTGAATAAGTTAACAATTTTTTTTTCATTAGCCCTTCATTGTAATATAATGGCAAAAATCATTACAAGCCTTAATTGATGTTGACTACATGACCCTGTCATTTAAAGCTTGTCAATAACAAACATAAATAGAATATATAAAATTGAATATTTTGGGAAAAGATTGACAAAATAGACTTTCGCTTCTAACCTATTAAATTATTACTGAGGTAAAAAGTTGTTCTGAGAAATGTGAAAAATATGTGCTTGATTGTTTTACATAAAATGTGTAAAAATGGTCAGAGGTGCGATATCAGAAATAGCTTATGCACAGCTTATTGAAATCATTCTATTTTTTAATTTATATTTATATCTTTGCATGTTTGTAGGCTTTTTCCTTTATTTGCTATCATTTCAGTAGGACATTCTTCTATTTATTATGTCTAAAATGTATCATACTGAGTCTATATGCTGTTTAAAGTGAAATTTGAAAACTCTTATAAATTATTTGTTCAATTACTTCTTAGTTTATTTGGAAAGATTTGTGTCGATCGGTCATAAATCTTCTCATGACTTAAAAACTTATAAAACTGATGTGGTTACAATATCAGCAAAATCACTATCTCTCTGCTAGGAATATACCTGGTTCTGTGGATATCTAAATACTTTCACCAATTATCTCCATTTTCGATTGATAATATTCCAGACTGTAAGATTGGCTGATCGTTTAAATATTTGACTGACTACATTTATTATCTGTTGATACGGTTCTTCTTAGTTGACTTAGTAGTGGAGTCTTCCAAAGTTGGAATATTAAAAATTCTTGATTTGAGACCCTGATCATCAGTGATTGATAAACATTGGTCTTAACCTTCACATATGTCAAAAATTTCTGTTAAAAAAAATTATCCCCACAAACTAGCAATAACTTTTATGGTTCTGTCATTCTTGACATGGCTTATTGAATTGTACAAGAATTTGTTGAAAAATTAATTAAAGACTTGAACAAAATTTTATAGCGTAAGATTTATATCAATCAGATTATTAGGTACTAGAATATTATAAAATGTGTTAGTTTACCACTTTGAGAAGTTGAATAAATGTTTTCTGCTGTTAGGATTTGTGACAGTAATTTCTCATTGTTTCCATATTAATTGATTGAGGGGTGAACGATCTTCCTCTGCCGATGTATTTATTTTACATTCACGTTCATCAATCATGTGCTTATTTTCATAACAGTTTTGCAACTTTTTATTTATCTTTTTCAACCAGAAATATCTTAGTTTAGACTTTAGATTGTAATTATTACTTAAATCTTTCTTTTATTCATTATTTGTAGATAAAGAGAGTATAGATCAATTGAAAAACTGAATTTTATACAAGCAGCACTGCTAATTTAATCATAATAGTACTTATGGCAAAGTAATGATATTTTTAAATCAAATTTTTATAAATGTTTGTTTTTGAAATCACTCACTAAAACAAAGAATTTAAAATTATTGGAATGGTTGGGGCTATTTACAGATATTTTACTGCAAGATTATTTAAATTTTAAATTTGGTGTAATGACACAATCAAAACTTAAATAAGAAAGAAAATAATCTTATAAAGTTCTCAGTTTATAATGTAAGCTATGTTAACTAATAATAACATTAAGTAATTATTTTTTTAACTAAAAAAATGTCATTACTTTTACAACTATAATATAAATAATTCCGGTTTAAATTTTCAGGATGTTATTTCTATTTTTCTTTTTTTTCAGTGACTTACAAAGATTGCTGTTATGTGATTTGTTTATCAAACAAAAAGATTTACATAGTTAAAAAACACTTTCATCCACCCACTTTAAATTTAACTGATGATGAATTAGGCTTAAAAATCCCTTCTCATACTATCAATGTTTAATTGAACGAATGTGCGCATATTGTAACAAAATATTATTAGCAGTATTGATAATTATGTTTTAACCTTGTATTTATTTCATAAATTTATGACATTTTAAAACAAAAACAAAAAATATATAATTGTGCAGTATCTGTAATCTTATTCTCATTTTATGTTCCGACCTTGCTTTTTTGTTTTTACAAAAGAAACTCTGTGAAAATACCGAATCAATGGTGATTTTGTGCTGTTTTACATAATTTTTTGGTTGAACTCTAAATTTCGAAGTATCAGGCAGAGGAAATACAGAAATAAGCTGAGTTATCCTATTTAATTTTGATTTTTTGAAAAACTTGACATCATTTCGGATCCACTTGATGCTATTTGCTCACCGTTTAAACGCTTTTGACTAAAGGGAAAATTTGATCGTGAAAGGTAGCAGAAGAGAAAACACCACAAGCACCTTTAATGTGATGTGATGACACCACTCCAAGTTTTATATTTCTTTTCCTTCAGTTTTGAGCAGCAAGAATAAAAAATAATACTTTCTTCTGATACAGTTCAACTTCTTTCCCAAGTGTTTTGTAGCTAAATGAAGCACTAAAAGGTTGTATTACATATGGAAATTTTTTCTTAAAAAACTTGAACTCGGTTATTAGGCTGTTGATAAAAAGTCTTATAAGGTTCTTCATGCTTTTCTGTCTTAGAAGTCCTCCTCAACGACAAATGAAATGGCCACGGAGAGCTTTAGTGAAGTATACTTCATTTTCAATCATTAAATTCACTAATTTCGTGGTCTGCTTGACCAATTAATATATTACAATTACAAATTGTCGTCGAGAATCCAATCCGATTACACGACATTTGAAAAATGGCAAAAAGGAGGGAAAATTCAAAAGGTGAGGTTGAGATGGGAAGTTAGTGTCCGAGTGGATCAAGGTCACGATAGCTAAAGTGGTAGAGCAGCGGCGTATCTAGCCGAAGATCGTGGGTTCGAATCCCGCTCGTGCCATTGACTTTTTTTCAACTCAACTAAAAACCTTAATTAATTGTAATATATTAATTGGTCAAGCGGACCACGAAATTAGTGAATAAAAAAGTGTGTAAATTTCTTAAGATTATTTTATATGGCCAGAATTTGCACATGTACATATTAACAAATCTGCTATTAATAGATAGCAGATATTTAAAATCAAAGAGGGATGGGTTGAATAACCAGGCGACAAATTTTCCTAAACTGGCTAATTTCTCCTATTTAATAGGAACAATCTTAGAAATAGACAGAGCACTGCAATCTTAAAATCATCTCTGGTTAAATATAAGCCCTTCTGACTTGATCAAATGGTCAGATTATGCTAGGCTTGTTTATTGGACATTTGAGCATTGAAACACATGAGCCTATTTGTAGAATGTGAGGTAAAGATACTCAAATATTATTTCATTCTCCTTGCCAAAAGATCAGCAAAATAGTATACTTCAACACAGTTAAGCTGTTGTTTCTTCAATATTGTTTTGGTCATTTCGCCTTCTTCAGTGTGTCTGTCTTGCGCCAGATAGATCAACTCAGTGAGAATAGGCAGATCAGAATGATCCATAACAACCAAATTTGTTCATCACCTTGTAGACTACACAAAGAAATCTCACAATGATTATTTTTTATTAAAAAAGAAAGTACATAGAAAAATAAGAAGTGAAAGTTTAAAAACAAAGACTAACACGTGTCTTTTTATCACATGTAAAGGAATTTTTTTTAAAATTTTTACTGTTATCAAAAACATTAATTTTTTCCTTTTTTTCTTGGAAGCATTTTGATAAGTTTTGTGATAAGAAAAACAATTTAAGCACTTCTTTAACCCCAAATAATAAAATGATCCATTAATGTTTATATACAACGAATCGTCAAACACAGTAAACGATTGTACTACATTAAACTGAAAATGTTCACCATTGGAGAATGATAAGCAAACGAACAATATTGTGAATACCAGAGGGTATATATCATCAAGTCATCTATGAAAGAACGAGTGGACGAAGAAGACGGATTATATTTGAAAAAAGGCAAGTTCAATTTTTGTTTTGTGATTGATGTTAACCGAATGATTTTTTTCTACCAGGTAAAATAAAATAAACTGTATGGAAAAAAATGTAAAATTAAAATAATAGTTTATAAAACAAGTTTGTAAATAAATATTTGTAAATGAGTCTTGATGTGTTTTATCTTAATTAGTATTAAAAGACGATACAAATCAAGAGGAAGCATTATTTTTTAATTTATATTGTTTCTTGAATCTCTTTAACAAAATTATCAACTTTATTATTGTTGAATCTTTGTAAGTCTTTAATTAACACTGCCAAGGTGTTAAAAAAATAATGTTAAAACTAAAAATATCCATTTAGTCCCAAATTGGCTTATTTTTTGTTTCCACAGCTAACTTGTTAATTAATTACCTTAACTAAAGTGTTTTTTCGATTCAGTTTCGATTAGAAACTAATGGTATATGGCATTTTCTTGTAATGTTATGATTTACTGTTATGGCTGTATTGCATGAGCAGTTTATTGACAATTTTTCTTCAAGACGTATGGTTCTTATATTTCAAAATAATAGATACTTGTATGCATTATTGTTTTGCTTTTTTCTTTCATTACTTTAACTTAATATAAGGTTGGAGTCAAAGTTGAGTTTGAAAAGGAATACTTGTTGGTTTTATTTTCTTGAAAATAATGAGAAATTTTATTTTTTGTAAAATCAGATATCGGTTTTAATCTTGGTGTTTTGTGACATGTAATGCATATGTAAAATGATTACCAAACAACTGCATGTCTTAAAATAATCCTGCTTTAATAAGAATTTTTTTAAAGTAATAAGGTTGTTTTTCAGGAATTAACTAAAAGTTCCCTTGAAAACAGGAGAAAAAAATAGGCTGATTTTTCTATATACGGTAATTATATCTTATTTTAATAGATACTTAATTGTACCATTCAGTATATTTTATGCCCCTATGTGACATGTTTGTTGTATCGTTGAATTTTTAATTTTCAGTTTGAAAAATAACAAGAAAAAGATATAAAGAAGAATCGAATAATCGCAGAGATCCGAGGTTTCATAATCTTTGGGCTTTGATGTAAGTAACTAACACTAATTGATCAATTCGACGATCAATCTATCTAAATGGAGGCTGTAGTGCTCTAAAGTGTACTATAGAGAAAGGTCATTTTTTAAATTCAAGCTGATTAAACTGTGTGGTCAATTCAGTTCGGTCAACCTCATGCCAACTTGCTGAACCCACATTATTTTCTGGTTGAATTTGTGATTTTCTTATTTGGATCAAATTGATCACAAATACGGTGGTTAAATTTTAATTTTTTTTTAGAAATCTGGAAATATGTTTCGGATGTTCTCTTTTGAAGCACCAAAAGGGAGGTCATTGAGTGAGATATGGCAGGACAACGCAAAAAATATAAGGAACCTCATTTCATTTTGGCTGTTTGGACTCGCCAACAACTTTGGTTATGTTATTATGCTGAGTGCGGCCTTTGATATATTGAGAAACATAGAAAATAAACATGAAGAGAACAAGGACTTTAAGAGGCTGTGCAATGAAATGAGTACAGGAGTTATTCTTCTGGCGAGCATAATACCATCATTTTGTGTCAAAATTGTCGTGCCATTTCTACCATTGTGGATACACGCTAGAATGATTATTGTTGTAACAACTTACACAGCAGGGCTTTTACTCGTTGCTCAAGGTTCGTACCACGTACTCATAATAACAGGCGTCTGTTTTGTTTCATTCGCTGCTGGTCTTGGTGAAAGTAGTTTGATCGCTTACACTGTCTTTTTTAACACAAGAAATGTGCTATCGACATGGGCGTCTGGGACTGGCGCCGCTGGACTCTTTGGATCGTTCTCTTATTCTTTGATGATTCAGCTCGGGCTGACACCAAACCTGGCTATCATGAGTATGCTCGTTATGCCATTGCTGATGGCTGTTTGTTTCTGGTTCATTCTCAACCGGCCTTCACTCGAAAGATTTCAAAGAAAGTTAAAATTCCTCAATGAAAAAGGTACATTGATTAATTTGAGTAAAGTGGAACTTCAAGCGTATGAAACATTTACTTTTAGGGATAAATTGAATCTTGTGCCACATTTGCTTATCCGTTTCACTCTGTTTTATGGTCTTGTATATTTGTTTGAATATTTTATCAACCAAGGGCTGTTTGAGTTGCTGCAATTTCCAAAAACATTTTTAACTATTCCCCAGCAGTACAGGTGGTATAACTTCATGTACCAATTGGGGGTGTTCATTTCAAGATCTTCAATGAACATTGTCAACATTGATTACATATGGCTTTTGGCGCTTTTACAAGCTTGTAACGTTTTTATATTTATGTTTGAAGTTACGTTAGGTATTTTTAAGTATCTAGAAATTATTTTAGCCTTAATCATATGGGAAGGTCTCTTAGGAGGTGCTGCATATGTAAATACATTCAGGTTAATAGCAGTTGAGATGCCTGACTATCAAAGGGAATTTGCCTTATCTTTAAATGCCATCGGTGACTCTGTCATGATAACGTTGGCCGGTATTATAGCTATACCGGTTCACAATGCAATTTGCTATATGGAATCGCCATATGGTCCCTTGAACTTCACTGTACAAGCCTGAATGTATGAATGAACTTGTAACAAGTTTGATAAACATGCTGTTATTTTCTTGTGTAATAATTATTTGGTATTGGTGATGTTAAACAGTTTTTCCTTTTATAATTAAGTGTGAACAATAAATTTTTAATTTATAATGCGCTTTATTTTATTTATTATTATTATTATTTTTTAAATTAGAAATCTTTGAATGAATTCCCACTTTATTTTTACTTTACATTATTAGTAAATTGAAGTGGGGTCAGGAAATTTCAGCAGCTGGAAGACACTCAAAATTAAATATTTCATTTATAAGCACAAATATCTTTCAGGATGCATGCTATCTGCTTTAATTACTTGTAGTTTGGTTGGTTTTTATATTTCAACTCACCAGTGTAGACGAAAAATGTGAAAGGACGTATGATAGCAAAAGGAGCAAGGATACTAATTGAAAACAACCTGCAAAAGGAGCTAGGATCTTGATCGAAAACAACCTAACTACCTGTTAATCATCTCACATATCTCAACATTAAACCTCACCAATCTTACGACTTGTTCAGTTTAAATCAATAAATAAAACTATTTGGAGACCCAGGACTCCGCTAAGTTACAAATAGAATCAACCGCCCTACTTTTAATTATCTCACGACAAAATATCTGAAAATTGTTCGAATATTAATTGTTTTCTATCTTAATTTTTTCTATTCATGCATGTTTGACAGTCTTGTAAAATATGTTTTCATAAAATCTTTTATCCTTTAATTTACTTAATAATAACTTTTCACTAATTAATAAAAGTTCAGTTTACAAACTATGAAATTTGTATAATAAATTAGTGAATAGAAAGTATTTAATTGTTACAATTTATTATCTTCTTTGTGAATGTCTAATTCAAGACATCTCTTAGGTGACTGACTGAAAACCCGGACGATGCGAAAAGGGCCAAAAAACGTTGCAAGACCTGAATACAGTCTGTGTGCATCTGTTGTCCGTTTTGTGCTTATAACATTTTATTTTATTATTAATAAACAAATTATTTAAACAATTTAAAATGGAGCAAAATAAAGTGGAAAATCAAGTAAATTAGAGAATTGTTTATTATTTTTAAGTCATTAGTTTTTAATTATTTTATTTGAATTTGCATAACACAGCAGAAATTTATTTAATTATAAGTAGTCATTTAGGTGGCCATAACAGTGTTGATACAGCGACTCATCACTGTACAATTAATTAAGGTTTTTAGTTGAGACAAAGTCAATGGCACGAGCAGGATTCGAACCCAAGACCTTCGGCTTGATACACCGCTAATCTACCACTTGAGCTATCGTGACTTCGATTCGCTTGGGCACTAACTTCCCATCTCAACCCCACCTTTGAATTTTCCCTCCTTTTTGCTATTTTCCTTTTCAAATGTCGTGTAATTTATTTGATTTGAATCCCGCTCGTGACACTGACTTTTTTATGTCAACTAAAAATCTTAATTAATTGAATGATATTAACTGGTCAAGCAGACCACGAAAACTAGTGAATTTTAATGAGTTAAAATGAAGTATACTTCACTAAAGCTCTCCGTGGCCATTTCATTTGTCGCCGAGAATCAAATAGATTACACATTTGAAAAAGGATGGAAAATTCACGAAAACTAGTGAATTCTAATGAGTGCTCAATGCAGTTCTATGACGTTTCACCCTGCAAGAAGACTCATTGAGCATAAATCCAATTGTAAGCCAGGGCCGCCACCGCTTAATAAAATCTTTTTCTTTTTTTTAATGGCCTTATAAACTTGCAAATTAGCCAAGGAAGATGTGTGTGTTTGATGATGCTTTATTTATATTAATTGTGACAAAAAGGGCTAGATGCGATGGTGGGAATCGAACCCATGACCATGGGGTCTACGATCTAGTCTCACGTTAATCGCTTGGCTACTGCAGTCCCTACGTTAAAAACATGAGTTTTTGGAAAGATTTAATTTGCTCTGAAGTTTCTACTTTAGGTTAATTATGAGATTTTGTGAGGTGAACCGGTAATTTAGTCGTTGCTGATCATTTCCGATCTGGCCATCTTTGCTCGTTTGATCTTTCAAACAATTTTGCCATCTTCAGTCGATGATGATCAGCAATGACCGACTTACAAATATATAAATAAAAATAATAAAACTAGTTATTTTTAATTATTTACTTCTTTTTTACTATTATTAAAATAGTAGTTGCATAACAGTACATAGTAGCAGTTGGTTTAATTTTACTAAAGCATTTGTCCAATATAAAAAAAAAATTATTTACATTTTCTCAATTATCGGTAAAAAAAGAAGGTATAATTATCAATTTTATATAAATTTGAACCTTAAGTAGAAAATCTTTGTAAACTGTGATGACTACTGACAGAAAAGTAGCACTTATATTTACAAAAACAAAAAAGAAAAACTGGACAAGCAGGAACAAAAATTCCACATATGATTTTAAACATACCTTCATAATAATAATAATAAGTCTGTTACAATTGATATATTGCTAAAGCTAAAATTATATTTATTGTATTTTATCAAATAAACTGATAACGTTAATAATTAACCAGTACTAAAGTTTCAATTTGTTAAACCATTACAAAATATATTTTAATATTATTTGTACAATCTACAATAAAGGAATAAAAATCAGTTAAGTTATATGATTATTCAAGAAGCAGTCAGCAAATAACCACTTTCTTTCTATTGTTTGTTTCTATTAATGTTGATTAATAAAATGGTGTTTTCTAAATTGTCGACTGTTTTACCATTTATTAAAAGGTTGTAAACTTCAATACAAAAATATGTCATCTAAAAGATATCAAAAAACATTCTCCAAGTTTGTGTTTTTATTTTTACAACCGAGCATTTTCTAAAACCAAAAATGATAACATATTCAGCATTTTCTAAAACTGAAAATGATAACATCATCAAATTGGATAACAAAATAATTTTAAAATCACAGAAAATAAACAATACAAATCAAAATAACTTGACGGATTAGCTTTTTTGAAGTTGATTTAAGCCGATCCTTGTTGCTCTGTTGTTGTTTATGGATTACAGCAGGCCTGGAACATTTCACCACTACCCTAAAACACAAAGCGTGACAAAATAAATCATTTTCGCTCTTTAAGAATCTCAAGATTGAATTAATTACCTACCTAACTTACCCTTATTTGGGCAAGTATATTCGCCATCCTTTGACCTACGGGATGTTCCAGCGAAATGGCCTCTCGGTTTAAAGCTTCTGTGATAAGGTCTGCAAGGCGGGGAATGTTACTGTTATTTTGACCTAAGATTATCGCATTGTTGGTTTCTATGAGGTGGCATAAATATCCATAGACATAAGGTGCTTCATCACTGTCTTCCCACACCGGAAGCCAAGACAACCTGTAACAAAAAAACAATTATATTTAAAGCATTAGAAAAATATAATAAAATCGACCATTTACCAATGTGGTAAGATTTCATCGACGTTGATTTTACTACTGTTATGCTGTAAGATTTTTGTTACGGCTGAAATGGCGTTTTCTGTCGCACTTATGTTTTCTTCGGATCTTGATCCTGCATCACTGATTACTTCTGCAAGTCGAGGAAGAACTTCTGCGCATGTGCCTATAGAAATTTTTTTTAAACTTATTTCATTTCAGAAAGGAAAAGCACAAAAATAAACATAGAAATTATGAATGATGGAGTGAGAGTGGAGTTCAATCCTTTTTTAAAAAGATGGTTCCTACTCACATTATGTTGTTTCGCGACAATCTGGAGTTCGAGCCCTTCAGCTCAAGCATAGCATAAATGTGGTATCAAATTTGCTTTATTTTTCCACCCTTTTCTACCGAGCAGGGCAACCTTTTGTCCAAATAAAACATCACCAGGACCATTAAAGGTGGCCATTCACAATCGTTCCCAACAGTTCAAACGGAGTGACGCCATTCCAAAAACCACGTCAATAGCAAAACTGAACTGGCGTCTTGAAGGGAAACAACCTAGGTCACTCGAAAATTCTACAATTATTGAATAAGGTCAACAGCCAACTATTAAGTGTTAGCAATAAAAAGGTTAAAACCCCTTCAGGGAAAAAGTACTTTCAGGTAGTTACTCCTTGTGAATATAACTATAGTGCGGATGATGACCATCATAGCCTAGACTGTTTTTGGAGTCTCTTGGATGGCTCACTCATTAAAGGCAAGGGAAGCGGTGCTGGAATACATATACCTAAATTAGGGATCAGCATCTCCTCCCCTCTTGGTAATAACACCTCCGTTTTTCAGGCCGAAATATGAGCCATTAATGTTTGCTGCAGAGCACTTATGGATAACAAAATCAAGGGAAAAGACATTACAATTTTTTCCGACAGTCAGGCCAGTCTTAAGTCATTACAAAAAGAGCTATCAACATCTAGGCTGGTGGAGGGAACTGTTGAACTTATTAATAGGATTACTACCAGGCACGAGAATAGGTAACCCTCATATGGATACCAGCTCATAAGGGAGACTATGGCAATGAAGAGGCGATAGCCTGGCCAAAGAAGGCTCAAATACTGCGTTTGTCGGGCCACAACCGGTATTACCCCACATGAAACAATTCCTTAAAGAATGGAATCTGTCCCCTGGACATAGGCAATCGAAGGAGTTTGTGAAGGAAATCAAACCAAAAGAATCGAAATGGCTTTCTCTAACTCAAGGAGGGGAATTAGGAGGCTGATAGGTATTCTTACGGGCCGCTGCCCACTGAGAAGCCATCTCTCCGTAATGGGTATTCTACCAGATCCCTTTTGCCGCTTCTGTGAAATAAAAGAAGAAACGGCATGGCACTACCTCGCAGAGTGTGATAGGTATGCCAGGCATAGATTTGAAACTTTTGAAGGAGAAGACATTGCCAAATCACTCCCCAAGATAAAATGGTCCAAAATCTTGGGGTTTGTGAACAGGTCCAAGAGGTTTATGCAGGACACGTGAACCGACCAAGTCCCGGACCTTTTAGGGATGGGGTACGAGTCTACCCAGGTCTATTTAACCCCTCGGGTCTTGGTCACCCACCCTGCGTTATATATATATAAAACTGAACTGGCTTGCTGGGCAGCATCGAATATTCGACCAGTTCAAACTCTATCAAGCCACTCCAAACATCTACGGCGTGATGAAGACAGCGCGTTCATGAATGGGAAAACCTGGTGTGAACGGTGGAATATTGGCACGCTGGCTTGGTCGTGAATGGGAAAACCCACGATTTTTTGACGCAGTCTCTGTCTTTCTGTCCCTGAGCAAACATCTCCATCATACATTTTCGACACATGTACAAAAATAGTGTCGTATTCTGCGCAAATTTTTATGTGTGGACCCATCTTTAATCCTGGCACACGAGAGGTATCTGTCATATAAAATAAAATCATTCAATTTTTCCTTTCAGTCTCAAATTGTTTGCACTGTCCTAGTAAAAGATTTGAATTTTCTTTCCATCCCATTTATTTGCGAAACACATCGAATGTAGTTAATAAAATTGCATTGTGTAATACTGGATTCTGCAATATGGTGAACCTACAGTATTATCTCTGATTCTCTTGGCCTGTGTTCCTACAGGTTTTGCCCGGGTCAGGATGGAAAGAATACCTTAATTTAATATAAAGTCATTAATTAAAGAAAAGGAAGCATTATAAGAGTGAAAAATTTTGGTGACAATCTAACATGGCTTCTGATTTATCAACAGAAATTACCTGCAAAAGACGGTCCTCCGTTAATCGCAAGGGTTCCACATCCGTATGCAGCAGCTTGCCTGACAGCACTGTTTTTGTCTGTGACCCCTTCAATGATGGGTCGAAGGAAGTACTGTTGGTATTTAACACAGGCCGGCCCTCCGAATTCGATCACATCATCAAAAACACATAGACCCCATTGCCTGTCGGACCAAGGCTGGTTGGTTTCCTGGAAAAAGCGTGTCAAATTCACAGCCGCTAACTGGTGTAAATGTATACTTACCACCATCTTGACAAAATGGCCGAGGAGTAGGTCGAAATATTCATAAAACTCTTCTCTATACGTTAGAAAGAGAGCGTGCAATATATCGGCGACCTTTCCCAACGTGTAATTGTCTTCATTGTCCTCGTCTTCCAACTGTTCTTCAACAACCTATGACAAATACATTTTTACAAGTGTTAGTTACAAGAAGAAAGATCAAAATTAAAATAGTGGAGACCAACCTCATCGTAGTCTTCATCTTTTCGCTTGACAATTCTTTCAGCAGCTCTCTCAAAGTGATTCTTCATGATCCCATCTAAAACCCTCATCAGTTCTTTCATCCATTCTTTAGTCATGCATCCTTTACCAAGAGTCTCGATGCACTAAAACAAAAAAAAAAGCCAATGTGACAGATATAATAATTTAAAAAAGTCAACATATATACAAATTATTTTACAACCTTTGCCATTGAATACATGTGTTCATGTTTCACTTCGGTTTCCGGATCTGTTTCTATAGATTTTAACAACTCGGGACAAATAAATTCCCACATTCCACTGAGAAAATTTGCACCTGAGAATGAAATGTACATTTAATTTGAGTTTTAAATATTCAAATAAATGTATTACCTTTGACTTTTGCGCATTCCAAGAGATAAGGTAAACTCTGTGCAGCTGCCGTTCTCACACCATCGTGAAAATAAAATTTCAACATTCTAACCATCAATTTACAAACGGGCTCAGCATACGGAGCAAATCCTTCTTTTAACTCTCTTGCGTAGCAGACGAGCATATCGCACGCTGAAGCCTTATCCTCGATTCCTTGAAAAGTGGAAAAAATCAGTTTCAAAATAGTTCAAGTAAGGTCTCGACCAAACCAACCTGTAGTTCGAATTCCGAAATTCTGCTGTTCACCCAGGGAAATAAACTGCCACTCTTCGCCGTTTGACACCTCGCCCATATCTTCATTGTCCATGACAGCTACCTCTGGTTTCAGAGAGGCTGCTCTCATCACTGGCCCGATTACCAGGGGGAGATACTGTTCAAACTGTTTGCCTGAAAGTTGAAAAATTAAAAAATTGACAATAAATCTGAATACTGAGATGAAAATAAATTTGGCACTTTGCGTGTCGCCAAGTTGGACCACCATGTACTGGCTGCTTAGAGCATGCGGCTAAAATTATAGAAGTATGAACATGCTTTAGCCGGCTTGTTACTGAATTTTTGATTCTTGATTCTCTAAACGCTGGTTTCAAGAATACAGAAATCATCGTTTGACATTTCCTCATATAATTAACACAATATTATGTTGAGTGAATCAATCGAAGAACATTCATATAACGTTAAATAACTAGAATAACTAAAATAAAAGGGAAGTCTAGGAGAAATCAAATGTTCAGTAATACAACTGAATGTCAGCAAACCTGTTCAAATTTGGGGTAAACAAAACAGTTACTTCGTGATAATACTTGTTGACATCAACGGACATTTCCTTTTCTTATTACAAAATTAATTAATTAAAAATTTTTATAAAAAAATTCAAATCAGTTCTTCTTAGTTTAAGCCCTCCAACCTTTGATTGGCTCGGTGAATGATCAGAGTATTATTAGGAAACAGACCGCTTTTCGGCAGTATTTGGTTTTTCTCTGGTCGTAGCGATTTGGTTCTTCTCGATATCTAACCATAGTCAACTCTTTCTCTTCTCAAAGAAGTAGAACTCATTTTATTTCAACTTTGAGAAAATTACCTCCTGAGAAGTGCTGCCTGTTTTAGATAGCGGAGGTGTCCACTGCATTTTCCTTAACATTCCTGGAGGAAAACTCCAAGGCTCAGCATACGGTACGACTGGCTCAAGGGGTGTAAAACTGGGCGCACACTAGGTCAGTGGGGAGGAGCGGCACAGCGTGGGTCAGAATTGTGGAGGTCCGCACATGATGTACGAACCTTTCTCGGCCGAATTTTCCTCCTCCATCTGACCAGCACTACAGTTTGGTGTTGATTTTGCATTTGCAGGAGTTCCCATGTGACAATTGTATTCTTAATAAATAGTAGTGACGAGGAAATTATTTTTTTGGCTACGGATGCAGAGTTGGAAGACGAGGAAGAAAGGCAGAAACGAAAACGAAAAGCATGGGCACATGAAAAAAACACCAAACGCCTTACATTTGGAGAATATCACCATTATTTTAAGGAAATGAACTTTTTTTCGAACTTATTTTGAAACAATGCTACTACTATTCCAAAAAGCAGGGTAAACAAAGCAACACGGTTTCGTCTTTACAAATATGGCATCTAAGAGCAGCCGAATATACCCAAGCTCAACAATTTCCAACCGCCCTGGTGCCCTAGGCTAGGAGCTACACTGAGCTGCCCTACCGACCTAGTGTGGGGTTGCATTCATATTAATATATTTTTCTTGGGGTCGGTTCCGTGCCACGCTGCGCCCCACTGACCTAGTATGCACCCAGCTTTATCCTGCAGGAGCAAATTGATGGAAAATCATGTTACATAATTTTCTCATTTTTCCGGCCAATTGTTTGTTAACTATGTTAAGAATTTAATTTATTTAATTTCAAAATTTTATTTTAGTTTAATTTACTTATAATAGGCATATGGCCTAAAAAAAGTTTTTTTTTCTCAATTGATAAATCGATTTACAAGTAGCACACAGTTTGAAATGCGTAATATCTTCGTCTGAAAAATCTTCTTGTAATGTATTGTAACATGTGGGGCTGACTGCTCAAATGGGGGTCGTTTTTCACGACACCTTTTAGTGATGTTTTTGGGCGGTTGTACTTAAAGCATGTTCATGCTAATATAAAATAAAGGACATACCAAGTATTTTACACATTCTTGCCCATGCTGTGATGAGATAAGATGTCTGGGGATCGTCATCGGGTAACTCTTGACCTTCGGTGTAAGTTTTAAGAAACAAGTCCATGATTTCTGTAGCATCGCCAATAAACTGAAAAGAAAATCAGATTTAAGTAGGAGAAATTGTGCAAGGCGCATTATTTTACTGCGTAAACAATTTAAATATACATAAAGCAGAAAAATTAAATCAAATATTAATCCAAAATTATTAATAAAATTAAAATCAATTTAGTACATAACAGTCAAAGATATTTAAATTTGATAGATTACATAAATATATAGAAATATTTTGTTTTAAAATTTTGTGCACATCAATTTTCATTAAAATGTGTACAACAAGGAAGGATAATCCATCTGTCATCAGAGATTGCAAATTGTCACAAATGATTTGAAATTCAAAAATAAACGTAGAACTGCCAGACTGTATCTCACGATCTCCAAATAATCAGTAACTAACTGTCACTAAACACCACACAATTGACATAGAACTATGGATGTTCACAGAATAATTGTAGAACATAAAATGAATAAAAATAAATACATAAAAAAGTAATGGGTTTTGTCTTCTAGATCATTAGGCTGTTTTATACAATTGTAATTGAATCTATACTTTCAAATATGACGAGCAACCTGTATGAGAGCCCGGGGATCCGAAACATTCAACAGTTCTATGATTTGGACTCTAGAGAGAGTGAAACACCTGAGGTATAAGATAAATCTCTCAAAAACAAAATAAATCTCACCTATTTTCCGTCGGCTCCTTTCTTTACCAACGAGGGTTCCAAGGGGATAGAGGACTGGAGAGAAACGGTGGTTTGGAAAAAAAGGAACGCAAACCCCTTCTTCCATCATAGTGGGGACAAAAATATCACACCATAGGAACAGTTCGATCAATTTTCATTTCATTCAAAGTATGGGTGAGACGACAAACCATGATCTCGAGAACACGAACACCACTATATTTGAGTACCACGACGAAATTTTATCCACTAGACAATCAATTTAACAAAATATTCTATGCATTCACCAGAGTGGTTTGACAACTGAACTAAGAGACTAATAAAATATGGCTGTAATGAGAAACCAACAGTCCAAAGTACAACTGGTCACAAACACCACTAAGTCATCACTTTTAATCTCGTTAGGTGTTCCACAATGAGACTTGTCTTTAATTTGTCTCTCTCCATTACGAAAAGGTGGGCACCACGGTTGACATACACACTAAGTTACTAAGTTTTCACCGTAAATTTTATCTGCCACTCTATGCCCAATATGTAGCAATCAATGTCTCAAATGAATTTTACCTGCAGTTTATTTTATAGGACCAACTACCCCTTTGGGGCGGTAGCCGAGTGGTTAGCATGAGAGACTCTTACGCCGCGGTCGTGGGTTCGATTCCCACCGTCGCTTCTGGCCTTTTTTTCACCACAACCCCCCCAAAATAAAAACACACATAAGAATCGTCACCATGGCTAATATGCATAGATCACAACGAACAAACAAATAATTTCACCCTAGCGCTAACACGGATAGTAGGTAATAATGGATTGTCTGTATAAGGATAAAAGTCAAAATTTGAAAAACATGCACACACCCAATATAATAAAATTGTTTCTTTATCAAATGCACCAAATACAAGGACTTTAATTCTATATTTAAATATTAAAAGTTTACCTTTTCTAATAATTAATACTCTCTTGTAGTATACAAGCTACTGTGAATATTTAGACAGAACATATACGAACTGTTCTACATAAATCTTACCTTCTCTCTTCCAACTGCTAATCCGATTAAACTGACGCACTCAATTGTCTTGCCTCTTAGCAATTTGAGTTCTGGCTTGTTCGCATTCTGAATAATATACTTCAAACAAGGCATCAACCTGTACAGTACAATTGATTATTTATTTTTTATAATAGGTTTCAGGAAAAGAGGTAAAAACAAAATCAAAACCTGTCATAATAAGGTGCAAAGTGTTCACCAGAAGTGTCGGCGACTGAGGCGATAGTTGATACGACTTGTTCAAGCACGAGCTTCTTCCCACTTAGCACTAACTATAATCGAAGAATTGAATTGTTAAAAGACAGCCAATTAAACAAATCATATTGTTAAAAACGTGCAATCACCTCTTCTAATTTTTCATTCAAAATTACTTCCAGTTTTGTCATGATTAGATTTAAATAAAGAAGCAAAATTTGTGATGGACAATCTTCACTGAAGTTGATAAGAGCAGCAGCTAAATAAAAAGATTATTAAATCATTTTACAATATTAAAAATTATACATTATATAATATTAATAATAACCTCCATGTGCTTGGACCCTAGGGTTTTTCTCATCGTTCAAGACCATTAACAATCCTGGAATTACTTTGTCGTGAAATTTCTTTTGAAAGGTCGGTGCGAAATCTGAAGACATTTGTCCAATGGCATTACAAGCAGCATACCTGACTCGATGATGCTATTTATTAAAAACAAATAGTTTACTTATCCATTATTCTGAAATAAATTAAAGGTAACTAAAATACCGAGTCGTAGAGGAAGTTTAGAATTCCATCAAGTATTTGAGGCAACATGGGTTCCATCTGTTTCGAGCAACCCTCGGCGATTGCTGAGATGGCCATAAGGGCACCTTGCCGGTATTTCCAGTCTGGGTTTGCTAGCATGGGTGGGATATTTGATATGACTTGCGGTAAGATAGTTTTCCCTCCTAACCCACAAGCCAATCTGTCTAAAGTCGATTCAGCCACAATGCAATTGCTGAAAATGATTAAATCATTAAAAATCAGAAACTTATACAAATCATATTTCGAACATCTACCTGTCATTATCATCTTCTAATATTTCGTCGGAATAACTCCAATCGGAGCTGTCTTCAAGATCTGCCATTAATTTGAGAATCTGTGGGATTAACAGCGGTATGAAGGGTGCAGCATCTTTCCTCATCATAGCCGGTGCTACCTCAGAAAGGGTGACAACTGTTTCTAATACTAGATGTTTCCAAGAATTTTCCATATCGTCATTTGACAAAATCTATTAAGTGGAAATGTCAATTTAATTTTAGCACATTTTGAGGGTTTTTTTAAAGCTAACCTTGAGGGCAAGTTGCATGATGTTGGTTAACTGGGGCCTCAAAAATTTTGGTGCACTCTCGGCCAATTCAATAAGACATTTGAGAAGAGTATCATCCTCATTTTTTTCAACACTCTCGGCTATAACCTAAATTTATGAGTGGTTTAATTTAAAATATCCTTTGGCGTATAATATATATACTTAAACCAATCGTTACTTGAAAAATTGGCGGAAGCAAATCTTTGAAAAATTTGTGTATAGGATCATCCTTGTCATAAAGCATAATAAAAGCTGAAACTGCCCTTACTGCATGGAATCGGACCTTTAAAAAAATCAATTTTAATTTGTTTAAACTCAATAAATTTATAAAACTATTATTTAAAAATCAATATTAACATCGTAAGTAGAATGTAGAGACTGCTGAAGCATCTGTTTGATCAAATCAAGATGGACAACCTGTTGATTGCCGAATATTCCAGGGATAGTGCTGAAAATATTTATTATAAGAAAACATTAAATAAATTAGAATCGTCACAATCGGCGTTAACATACGCAAAAATCCTCAACGCTGATTCTTTCAAAACGGTGTTGTCCGAATTGGCGCATTGGAAGAGGAATTGTAAAAATTCGGGCCACAAGTTGTTTCCATCTTCGTCGATCAAATTCCTGGCGAGTTCTGCGACCAGTTCACAGACCTTTTGCCTGAGGCTGAGTGACAACTCTGTCTGAAGCAGGTGGAGCAGGCAGCTTTTTAATTCATTTTGGTTCGTCGGTTGAAGCTGAAACAGAATAGAAGCAATGCTTAATCTGATATATTTGAACGCTTAATTTTGACAGTTTTCATTTATTTTATAAGCAAAATTATATATTTAGATTTTTTAATCTTGCCATAATCTGTGCTTACCGCAATTAGTAACTCAAAGAACACCACTAAGCATACATAAGGAGCTACAGAGATAGCACTCCATGTAAAAATAAACTCTTTTATTCACTCTCTGGGATCAAGGTCAAGAGCTATTGTCTTTTTAGACATCTAAGATTGTTATTATAAAATGACTGGGAGGAAAGTTGCAAGAAGCGTATTTTGAAGTGTAATTGGAGTTTTTTAAATATTGTTCTTATTGTTTTACACCTGCGACTTTAGTTACAATAATTAAATTTGGTAATTCATAGCATAGTATGATAAAATCAAACATAATAGGAGAAACCACCTACTGATGACCCACCCTCAAACTGTGCACACGTACCCACTTAGACTATTGAAGCAAATCCCTACACCATTGATGATGGCCATGATTTCCAGGTAGGGTTAGTGGGGAAAAATGTTGGATGAGGGGTTTGTGTGTACAGAAAGGGTATTGTGGAATTTTCTGATGTGTGTTAATGGTTTTATTGGAGACGTAGAAGGGAGCATTAAGAATTTTGGATTAGAGAGACTGGATATGGAATGAATTGAAATGTTTGAGTCCCATACTTCCACTATGTAGGTTCATATTGGAAAAATGTGAGTTTTAAAAAGGGTAAGTTTATTGTTAAGGTTTAGGTGAGATCCGTTGGCCGATTAGTCCCAGTAAGAGTATTTAATAGCAGTTCGTGTCTTGTCGTTTCAAGCATGTGAATTCCACGTCGGTCTTTAATTAACGTACAATCCCAGGTACCGTGCTATGTCAGCAGTCTGTATCGGTACGTCATTCAGTTGTAATGGATGGCACAATTTCATTAATTTTGATTATCAATTTGCAGTACCAGTCTTCTAATAGATTGAGGGGACTAGTAGATAGGGGCTTACGACTTAACTGATGAGTTGGAGTGAGAAGAAAGAGCCATGTTGTCTGTGTATGTTAAATTAAAATATTTTATATGCTTGAGTTTAACCCTCATGCAGATGCACAAGCGGTATTCTACCGCCCTCACCATAAAAATGTAGCAACTTTGTTCTATGGTTGTGCAGAGGGCTATATGGGGATTGTATACTTATCTTTCAATAAACTAAATTGCTTCGCAATCATCTTCCGGATCAGCGAGTCAAGGCTGTCAATTGCTGTCAAACATTTGTAGTCGGTAGTTAGCCGCCTTGCGTCCAGTAAATTTTCGTTCTTTTATCAACTGTCGTAAGGAAATGTAATTATCGATTTTGCAGGTTTATTGTATGTACGAGTATTAACGATAATATATTAATGTTTTTCAGCGTACTTCACTGTTTATTATTATATAAAGAATCATAATTATGCACTATTATCCTATTTTTTTTTATAAGTCTGTATTATCAATTTTTTCTTATAGGTAAGACTGTTTTGTTCTCTTCATTATTATTTGTCATCTCTCTCTTTTCCTTATTATCATCACCTACTAATCATAAAGTTATAGTATTATCATAGGTAGGTACCTTTGAAATGTACCTACCTGCATGTGTAAATTTATTTTCTCCTCATAAAGAACTGTGTTTTATACATTTTTTTAAGGCACTTTAACATCCGTCGAATCAAAATGATTCAGCAGTCATGAATAATGTCTTTCACAGGTTTCATTTTTCAAACATTTTTTTATATTTTTTTAATATATTTTTTGGCTCTACATTTATTCTAAAAGACTGATATTGTCCGTTGATCTATTACTTGTGATTCATTATTTTGTCAATTTATCTTTTTTTTCCCCCCAATGAATAAACATGGGTGTTAAAGCTTCCATCAAAATTACACCTATTTCAAAGGATTGGGATGAGATTGGACAAAAACACGTAAAAACGAGTTGGCAGTAGACTATCAAAATGGCAGAAGGGTGTCAAAAAAAATTAAAGATGTTATACAAAAAATGATATGGCATGGCCAATAAATTAAGAATGCACCATCAGGATAAAACGTCTTATCTAAGTTGATAAAACAGTCTGAGATAGATTTTTTTTTAAATGTAAACATATGTTTTTATTTATTTATAAGATTTATTGAAATATATAAAATATTTTGTATTATGTAAAACATAACGTTTATCTTAATAAAAAAAAGTTAAACCTCTTCTGTACCCGGCACCCCTCAATAACAGACAAAAACACTTTTTTCATGCGTGTTTGGTAAAGAGGGGTTTCAATGTATATGATGCCTTCACTTCACAAATCAATATGTCTATAATTATAAGAATTTTTATTTTGTTGTTTTTTTGTTTTATTATGTCCACAATTTGTATTTCACAGTATTGCGTTACTTAGGGCATGACTAGTCAGTATGATTGGTGACGCACTGATAATGTTCGTTCTATGATATGATCAAGCATGATTCAGTGATAGTAGTTCTTTTGTATTTTTCAATTGTGCGATATACTTTATCAAGATTTTTTTCTTCTAAACTTTAATCTTAGCCCCTAAACAAAATGCACCTCATTACACATCTCCTATTAAGTTTACTAAAAAAAAATTTAATAATGAAAATATCTAAAGAATTTGCTGTGGTAGAAATATTCCAGTGATAAATCGCCATCTGTGTTCTATACAATTTGTAATTGTTTATTATTTTATAAAGTAAAGCAAATTTTATATAAACATTTTTTTCTTATTTCATAGTAAGAAGTTTATCAAAATTTAAACAGTTCAATGAAATTTCTAATAAAAAGTAACCATCACAAAACCATTATAACATCGAACATTTTTTGTTATTAAAATAACCTGGAGCTAGATTTAGTTACATTCTATATAAATAACAATAACGATAAATTAGCAAATTCTTTTGTTTGTAACCTCATTTTTAAGTCGTGCCAGTAAATTACTCTCTGGTACCATGGTTGTTCTTCATAAGCAATCAGTTTTCATTCTTTAGCCTTGAAATAGCCCTGCTTGAGTCATTCTCCAGAATTTTGCAGTTTGTTAATCCTGTGCGAATTATTTCGCATGTAACATTATGTACACTGAAGGTTTTTTGGAATTATCATATGACAATCAAGAACGCACTCGTAGTGGTCCATCTTTGTCTTTCAAATTTTCTCATAACAGAATATTATTATTTATAAAGCTGAGCTACCGTAAAGTCAGCTAAAGTAAAGTGTGTGGTATATCCTTAACAGACAACATTCGGAGATGTCAAACCTTTTAACAATATTTTTTTATATATTATGATAAATTAAAAAGCCTTGAGATATGGCAGGAATTTGAACCCAGAACCTACAAGGCTACCCTAATTCTTGGTCATTTCTAATAATTTTGGGCTGCCTATACTCACTGTTATGGTAGTTCAGATGCATTTTGGCATTTGTCTATGTTCAGAAGGGCTGTCTGGTGAAGGCCTCTTTACTAATTTAAGCAGATAAATTTTTGTTTTTAACTAATAATACTTGAACTATCGTGACTTAGGTCCTCAAGATACCAACTCTTCATCTTAACCGACTAAAATTTTTTAGCCAAAATTTTCCCTCTTTTTACCACAAAATTTCAATAATAATAATAACTAATAATATTGTAAAAAGTAAAATATTCAAATTTTACCAATTATTTACAATTATTTCTTATTAAAATATAAAATCATTCTGGTAGATTTGCTATCATGTTGATTCTTTGTACACGTCAACATGCAATTAGAAATTATAACATTTGTTTTAACTCGATGGTATAAATGGTTCATCTAACAAAAGGATGCTGTGCTCATGACCAAATAACTGACTGTGCAGGGCCATTATATATCTCCATTTCAATTTTAATTTAAAAAATTGATTAATTGTTAATTGAAATGGATGTAATTTGATCATTTCAGATCATCCTAGCCTGTCTAGCAACATTAATTCAGTTTAAAACTTTCTAGCATTTTAAGTGGTGAGTGTAGAATAGCATGAAAACATTAACACTGTTATTAACACTGTAATAAATTGTTTTGTGTGTGAACGACTGAGTCTTATAAAAAGTAGAGCATCTTCTAGTATCGTACATTTCTCTTAGAAATTTTATCAGTTTTCAAGGACTGAAGATTGAGAAATGCTGAAAAGCATTTAACAGACCAAGATGATCTACAGGTTCTTCACCCTTGCAAGCTTAACAATTAATAATTATGGCCTGCATGAATCTTTATTCAAAAATTATAATAGTATTAATTAAGTTTAAATAAACAAGCATCTCCATGAAAAATTCATTGCATGGAAAATTTTGAACCTGGTCGTCTTGACGATTCATCTTTGAAGGCCAGTGGGTCTCACGACTAACACCAAACTGTTCAGCACAGATACATCACCAAAATTTATGTATTAATAAAACACTTGATTCATTGCAAAATGAATTATAATACAGAGTGATCTGTTCAGATCATCCTGGTCTGTCCATGCACTCTTGTTTGGTTTAAGACTTTTCAGCATTTCACCATGTTCGGGGGTGGGTGCAGAATGGCACAAAAACAGCGTCAACACTAATAAATAATGGACAGTCAAGCCTCAACAAGTATTATAACAGAATAAGTTAACAGACTTAAATAAACAAGCATGTGAATGGAAAATTCATGAACAATTTTGAAGTTTTATGACAAAACCAAACTGTTCAGGGTCACGATACCAGAGTGTACATTTAAAAAAACTTGATTCATCGATAATTGAAATAGATTATAACGTAGTTTGATCATTTAGATCATCCTGGTCTGTCTAGGCTAAATTGTCCAGCTTAAGACTTTTTAATTAAAATCGAAAGGACACTTAAATAATAGGCCTCAACAAGTTTTATAATAGTTAATAGGCTTAAATAAACATGTCAATAGAAAACACTTGAAAAACTTTGATCCGACTGTCTTGATGATTCGTCCTTGAATGCTGGTGTTTTATGACTATGATACATCACCAAAGTTAGCATTTAATTATCATTATTAAAAAAAAAAAATAAATAAATAAAAAATAATAATTTTGGATCATTCTGCTGTCTGGCCGTACTCGTTCAGTTGATGACTTATCAGCTTATATTTATTAATAGGCTTAAATAAAAAAAGGCATGTCAATGGAAAATTCATAAAAAAATTTTCAACTAGCAATCGATGGTTCATTGTTTGAAGGCTGGTGTGTTTTATGACCAAACACCTAACTGTTTAGGGTCATGATCATCACCAAAGTGTACATTTTAATTGGGAAAAAAACATGATTTATGCTAATTGGAATGAATTAGTTAGTGTTGATCATTTCTGATCATCCTGGTCTGTCTAGCCTTACTTGTTCGGTTTAAGGCTGGTTAACATTTCACCATTTTCAGGGGGTTAGTGTAACAGAATCGAAACAATATCCACACTGTAATAAATAATAAAATTTGTATTTTTTGTCCTTTCGAAGATTTTAAAGCCAGAAAAGCATAGCAGAAATAAACTATTGCCGTACAAAAAGCCGAGCTGGACTGGATCAACTATAGATTTTACCCCTTATATTTCATGGTCCAATTGATCAAATTACTTCTTTTAATTAATTAATCTTTTCATGTAAGGTATTGGTTGAAATGAAAAAGATTAATTAATTATAGATTATACATTGACTCACAGAATTTTTTTTAGTCGACATTAAAAGATTGAGAAATGACAAAGCACATCTGACAGACCAAGACGATCTACAGCTCTATCACCCATGCAGTATTCAACATTGTTAAAAAGCGTAAATAAACAAGCAAGCCAAACATGAAAAATTGTGATGTCTTGACGGTTCAAACTTTAGAAGCTGGTGCATCTCGAATCATCAGACCGTTCCAGGACCTGCGGAGACAAGAGAAGGATGATATTAGGGATGACTCACCTTTGCGAACAAGTTGGTGAAGTCGCTGGTTAAGATCCTGCGGAGTAGGACTGCAGACACCTGCCGCATGTCTTCGGACAGGCCGGAATTCTGAAGAGTCTGAAGGAGGAAGACGGCCCGGACTTCGATGGGCATCTCGCCGTAGGTTTTCTAAGGGGGAGAAAACGTCTCGTTAGAAGTCTCATCGCTCGCCTTTGAGGAAGAACTGGCACGGCCCACGTCGGCCGGGGGGGATCGTAAATATCAACGGGCAATAAAAACCGACCGACGGCCGTGAAATCAAGAGAAATTCGACAGTTAAAATGAAAACTAACTGTCCCAACCACGCGCTCGGACACATGGATAGCGCAGTATTGGGCAAAATCCTCCAGTTCCAGGTCCCTCGTAAAACGTATCGCTAACTCATAATATTGCATCGAGTCTGTTTTAATTTTACCTCAGCCGCAGTCCGGACATCGTTGTCAGTGCTTAAAAGTGATGACAAAATTTGTTGAAACGTCTCCTGATCTGCCGCCATGACACCCGAAAGAAAGGAATCGCAGAGGTTACACTGGTTGACGGGATCGGTTGAGCCTTTTCCCGCAATTAACTCACACGAGTGGCGGGAACTCGGGAACTCAAGTCCCCCCGGTAAGCGCTCAAGCCGCGGGACACGGATTTTCTCGCGGGTCTGTTTTTCACCGGAGAGGCCTACATCTACGTCAATATCTGGCCAATTTGTGCCAAAATCAGCTGGCACGTTTTTAAGAAATCCCGTTGCTAGCCCCGTTGCTAAACAAATAAGGATCCGTGTTTTGTGTTTTCACCCGTTGCGGGGACCCGGTCGTCGTTTTCACAGTTCTCACAGTTTTCCCCACTCGACTAGAATTTTCCGACCGATTTTCCCATTTTTCGACATGCCGAGCGGGAAATTCAAATTCACGGCCGTCGGGCGGAAGACCTGCGACGCCCTGGAAAATAAGCATAACCAAGAACTCCTCATGAAATGGTTTGCTTCGTACTTTTAATCATTTTTTAACATTAATTGAAAAAATTTAAGCATAATTTTTAATTGATTTAATAATCAAAATAAATGAACACAAAATGCATACATTTCTGTATCCGTCTTTAAGGCCGTCGGTGGCCGCAACGGTTTAGGCGTAAACACGGCGCTCATCACTGTAAGGTAAAGGTCCCGGGTTCGAATCCAGCAGCCCTGCATTCCAACCCGACTTACTTACAAATGGGCTTTTTTCCAAAAAACATCCGCATACCGAAGATTCATATAACGTCGTAGTTGTAATACCCTCGGAAAAAAATGCCTTCTTTACAAAATGGCGTTTTCCTCATTTCAAATTTCAACAATTTTACTCGTAAATTTTTTTTTATCATACAATAAATACAAATTTATTGTGGAAAAATACATTATTACATATTTTGTTTAGATACAAATCTGGTGATTGTTCTAATAATTTGATCCTTACCGATCATTTAGGTACATACACACTGAAGACAGTGAACAACCCAGAAGAGCAAACCAAGGTGAACGTTAAGGATCAACTTATATTGATGTGTTTGATATCAGCCTTAATGTAATAATTATACCTACATAAAAAAAATCAGGGGTTAGCAAATTTGAAAGAAAGAAAAACTCTAAATTTCTTTGTCAAGCTTACAAGAAACTCATCCCCTTCATCAGGACTTTGAAACTATTGATTTAAACGTTTTACAAATATAAACATCTACTTTGATACTCAACATTATGGCTTCAACCATAATAAATATACATTTAGTAGAATTCAACTGTAAGAATTAATCCTATTCGAACAAGCGATGAGAACGAACAAGGCACATCAACGACTTTATTTTCATTTTAGTACAAAATGAATAAATTAGCCAAGTCTTGTGAGTTTAAAAAGTTAAAACACATCTCTTCATCATTTATGAAATCAGGCTACTCGAAGGTGGAAAAGAAAAAGACTGGTAAACAAAGAAAATGCCATCCCTCTTGGATTGTTCCAGAAGAACTAATCTACATGACATTAGACCCATGAAGGGTCAACTACAAAACCACCCGGGGACAGATCTATGTTGCATAACAATTTGGCACTTCTCAATAAACATGACATTTCAATGTCTTCACTCATTGCTTCGGACCAGTGCCAAATCATGTAGTTTTCTGCTCTCAGCAATTTGGTCTAAGGAATTTACCGTCATGTGACTCTAGAAAAACTCGATATTTCTAAATTGCCACAGAGAATTCAAGAGCCCTGAAATATCCAGAGAAATAACCCTTCATGTCTCAACTGTAGCTTTGTCGTAAACAACTTAAACCCATCTGTGTTGGATTCATTGCGGCCAAAGATCCACCATAGGCAACATCCAATACCACTGCAGGGTGAAAAAATCTCATCCACTCTTCAAAGTAAAACTCTTATATTTACTGTGGTTGAGGCCATAATTCCAAGTATTGTAATAGGTGTTTATATTTGTAAATTATATAAACATTAGTAATAGTTTCAAAGTGCTGATGATGAGGAAAGCCTGATGAAGGAACTCGTGTTTTTCTTTCTTTCTTATTTACCTTATACCCTGACAATACTTTCTTACAAATTAATTAAGGTTCATCACTCCACAGACCACATGAGGAAATTAAACAATCACTCTGATGTAAAAAAAACTACATATCCATCTGCCATTATAAAAGTATTTGATGCCTTGATACTTAGTAAATTTCTTTCTAAGTTGGTTAGTTTCATAATCCAGGAACAACATGGCTTTCATGAGGGTTGTTCTACCACATAATTGAGGCAAAGATCTCTCTTGTCTCGGCTATCTTCCTCAAGCGTTTTTATTGAATAGAAAAAGGAAAAGTTCTTAATTTAACAAATACTTCAGTTTAAGACGTGGCTCCCATGGCTTTCAATTAGTTTTATTGCTCAACATGCAATCTCCGTGCAAGGAAGGAATGTTGTCGGACTGGGTTGTATCTTGAAGATGGTGGATCAATGGAGACCCTCTTCTGATGATGAACTCTTCAAGAATATGTATCTCCAAAGAAGTTTCTAGACTCAGATGACGAGTGTCATGGTATCTGACTTTCTATCTTTCTGGCTCTAACTCTGAATTTAACTTCCGATTTCCCGGTGTAGGCCCATCAGGTTACAAACTATGGATGGCAAGACCTCAAAGGGCTTAGTTGATTTCTTCACTGGGTCTACAGGGAGATTTTGATCTATCATCAGTGGCTTAGTCTGTCAAATGCATTTCTACTTTCACTGTCTTTACTGGGAGTAAAATACGACAATAAAGACCCAGCAGTGAAGGTGGCAAAAAACTGAAATGCATCTGACAAACCAAGTGAGCAAAGGTAGATTATGATGATCAAGGGTCAAATTACAAGTCCATCACCCTGCTGACCATAGGAGGAAATCTCACAGAGTTAAAATTATTCTTTTTAAAAATAATATTTGATTTTAAACTGTAATCTTTTCAAAATAAATATAAATCATACACACTGTCATTTGAATAATAAATATTCTTGGTGTTATGTCGAAAAGAGAACTGAAAAGACATTTCATTCACTTTATATAGTAAAGAACCAACTCTTTCTATTAAATCCTTCTTAGATTTCTATGTTGTTTTGTTCCTTTGAAAACTTCTTTGTATATTTTTTCCTTTAGTCTCATTCTTTTCTTTTGTAAGCAAGCCATGTTGCATCACCACATACTTTTTTAAAATTGATCTCCCAGTCCCCCAATAATACTAGGGTATTATTCAACCACATTACTTCCTTATAAACAACCATCACAGGTCCTGATTCCAACAATGATTGTTCTTTTATTCATGCATTCCTCTTCCTGCCCCTACTCAATATCTCAAGCATTAAATGTGATGTTTTTACAATCGTTTTTATTTTATTTGCTATTTATTCAGTTAGATGTCATCACTTTTATAAACGAACTGATTAGTGGCTAAAAAATCTTTGGCATAAGAGTGACATGGCTATATGCCTAAACGGGCAAGACAAAAAAAAAAAAAAAAAAAATCTTTGGCATTTTCTCGACACTTTAACACAATAATGGTGTCATGAAAATCACGACAATTTTTATTTAATTGACTTTTTGTTTATATTTTTGTTATGTTGTAATTTTCAAGTTAAATTATTATTATTAACAATGAAGTAAACCTTATTAATTTTCAAACAAACAATAATTTATTTAGAAAAAAATCTTATTTTTTATTTGTTTAAATTGTTCAGTCAAGAAAATTTTATTAATTTGTTATTTCGATTTGTATTATATAAAAATGTAAATAGTTCATTTGCCAAACAAATAGTTTGAAAAACTAGCGCTGCTTTCGCCATAACGTGTAGTAGCTTGAAGGCAGTCGTAGAGTCTACTTCATATAAACTATCGTTAACAGGTTGGCAAAAGAAAATATTTTAATTCTTTTTTGTATGATTATTTTGATTGAGATTTTTTTATATTTTGTTTCGAAGATTTTGAGTTTGTTTGTTTATTTTTTAAAAAGGAATATAATTTTTTGTTGTAATTCGGATTTTGTTTTATTTGTATTATTTCCACTGCGCAGCAAGGATCTGCTGAATATTATTTTTTATTATTGTCCCATTCGGCAGTGTCCGAATAAAAGATACCACATACCTTCATTACAATGGAAGACAAAATCTTGTTTGTTTCTGTGATGTAATGACAAGTAGTTTGATGACAGAATATTTAAGTAATTTTCCAATGTATCAATCTGAATATTGATTCAGATTATCCCATTAAATAAGAGGTAAAGAAAGAGAAAATAATTTAAGCTATCAGGAGAACAACATTCAGTGCTAATGTTTTTGCTTTTAAATCGATTCATATTGTAAATCATGGTTTAAACAGTACTTTAAAATTTTCTTTTTAATATGAAGATGCTGGTTGCACTTTTAGTCACCGATCTAAATAACAGCCAACTCGTTTTTAGGTCTTTGAAAGGTCATATGAAAGTGAATTATTTCAATTTCAATGAACCATTTCATATTTATGATATGCAAGACTTTGTCGATGTAAGTAGCTCCATGTTCTATAAAAGTCACAATGTTTTAAAAGATTTCATTTTTCAGTCCTTTTTTGCAAGTCCATCTGTCATCAGCGTGATACAAGCAGTAGATTATAATACAAATTCATGGGTCAATTTAGGTAAAGAATGTGATATATATTTTTTGTTTGCTGTTTTATAATATATTTCACATTTCATTTTTCAAAAAGGAATTCCAGCCTCAAAAACTCAATTTGAATCTGTACCCTGTAACGTTACATCTATGGATTTTTTCAAAAGATTGGAAGAAAATAACAAACTTGTGCTATCCGGGCGTCTAATACCATGCCTCGAAGAAACAGTCGACGATTTCGAAGGGTTTTACATTTCGAATACATTACAAGCCGTAAGGATGAACAGAAACAGTCCATGTTTCAGCTTTTTCCTGAGTACACTTTTCAGATGGTTCTTGATAAACACGATGCTTCAAAAGATTTATACAAACAATCTGAAAGGAATCAGTTTATTTTTCAACTTTTCAAACACTTGGTGCTCGGAGGGAAGTGGTGTCAGTACGAAGATACCCTCTCACCTTACTTGGAAGTTACAAAAAGCCTGTATAAGGATCTTGTAAGGTAATTTTCAATAAGTGCATATTAAATACTCATGTATCTTTATTAATCTTATTTATGTCTCAGTGTTGAGCGATACGAGAAAGAGAAAAACTTCTTTATCAGGTCTGTCGTACTCAAGTGTAAAGCTTATGGAGAAAACGGCGAACCCATTTGCCCGACAAAACCTGATCACATTCAAAATTTTATTTATCTAATCATCGATCCATTCAAGAGACAGGTTGCTGTGTTATATAATCAATTTTGTGAGATGTTTGTTTGCTGAGAAGTCATAAATTATCATTCACCCTCATTTGCGACCTTATTTGTAATAATTTTTCAGATTTGAAACAATAGTGTTGTTTATGCCAATGTAAATATTTTTATTTAGTTTAATTGTTCTAATTAGTAATTTAAGTTTTTATATTATTCTTCTATTTCAATGGGAAGCTTCTATAAATAAAATCAGTATAAGAGAAAATTCTTAAATCCAAGAATGGACTAGAAGAAGAGAAAGACATCACTTTTCTCATCGGTTGTTTACAGGCCACCAGTTTGCATGAACATACCTTTTGCTTTAGTTTATCACCAAGACATCAGTACGCATGAATGTACCTTTTGCTCAAGTTTGTCTGCCAGTACACATGGACGTCAGGATCCAGTTCAGCTATCTACGAGTACTGGCAGATGCACTATTTCCAACAGGACATCACTGCACTTCATTCAACCAAATTAATTTGTCTTTGTATGTATTCTTCAACTATTTACATGTTCCAAATCATGCCTGAATTCAATTTTTTTTTAAATAATAAATTTGTACTCACTAGAGAAATTGGATATTATTAAAAAATCATGTTTAATCCCTTTATTCAACAACTGACACTTATCCCTGATAGTACCCAGGCTTGCAGGGTAGATACATAATCCTTTCTCTCCGGCCGACTTCTATAAGAAAGAATAACCCGTGTAAAGACCAAAATCAGCAAGAAAATACTGACAAATCCAAATATTTACAGGTTTGGCCAAATTAAAATATTTTTCAAGTTTAGATCAATTCATGTTGAACGGGCATAGGGTCACTTACTGGGTCTGCCCCCATTTGCAGGTTTTAAGTTATTCAAACACATTTCGTCATTGCATCACCTTCAGTGAGGGATTCACTCCCTGAGTTCCTCACTCCTCAATAGAGGAATTCTGCTCTAGGCTTTAATGAAAGACAAGGAGTGATAGACACACCAACATACTTATTATTCATGCACTACATCAATTTTCTCACTTTAAAAAAAAATAATAATAAAAAAAACAAAAAACAATCTGTCTAAGGTACAACTTACACTTTTGTTTGGAAATATCTGTCGAGTGTCAGACAGAAAATCACTTTGACTGTTTATACACTGATAGAAATTTATGTTACAATATGTAAACGACAGTTCTCAAAATGTGAAACATGAAATAAATATATGACCCGTTTACCTACAATTATCTTGACCTGATGAAAGCCTCAAAACATACAATTGTGGTCGGTGTAATTATTCGAAAGATGAAAAGGAAGAAAAAAGTTCTTGTATGGGTTTGAGAGTGGGTTTTGAGACGTGAAAAATTCTGTGCCTACTAGCTAGCAAGTAGTTAGCTCAGTATTGAGGATCCAGTTCAATTTTCCAATTTTTGAAAATGAAACGTGAAAGCTGATTTTGAAAAGCTTGCTTGTAAAATCGGTCCTCTTATAAAAGCAAGCTATAAAATTCAGAAAAGCTATTACTTTCTGTAACTTTGAGTTTTTTAGCATCTGGTAAGTACATGATATGGTATAGTACAAAAGGATACTAGGAAGCAGAGTTTGTGCTCCCCTGGCACTGCAGCCTTCTGGCTTATTGTACCTTCCTAGTTACTTAGTTCAGTGCAATAGACTCAATCCTTCTCCTTAGACATTGTATATACCCATGTTGTGTAGATGTTTTCTCAGATGCCAGTGACCGGTTAGTAATCCTACTCTTCTCTGAGTTTGGCCCTCTCCAATTGAAGCAATGCTTTTGCCAGTCTTGGTGAGGGTTGTTTCACCATAAGTTTACTATGTCTAGCACTGTGAGTTTATCCACTTCTTTTGTTTTGTTTGGATCCATTCTGCGATGGAGGATTCTATTTTTATTCTTGTTATCCCAAGTATAGGTTCGGGGACTATGTATGGCCTTGCAGATCCTCCTCTGGCCAGACTGTCTGCTTTGTCGTTATCCAAAATTCCCCTGTGCCCTGACACCCAAGATATCATCAGGTTGTTGTGTTCACCCAGGGTTTGTAGATTTTGGATACATTCACTGACTAATTTTGATCTTTTACATGGTAATGCTTTAATGGCTGCTGGTAAGTACATACTACTATTAAACAGAAATTGTATTTTAATTTTTTTTTTTAATTTAAATCCCTCTTTTTTTTATCACTCATGTTTACACAACACTTATTGCAATGGCAGAAACGTAGATAATGGCCAACTTTTGCGACAGATTGAACTTGTAACTAACCAGTGTTTACATTGTAGAAGTGTCTACACAAATAGCTAGTGGTTGAAATATGTATCTCTAGCATAAAATTTCAATGTTTACATTACCCGTGATTTCAGTGTGACATAAATATCACGAATAACTGTCATATGTAAATGTACCTTAACACAATTTACCCCTCCCTTCTAAAGACCATGTAATATATATAAAGACCATACTATTATATATTGAAATATTTGTCATAGTTCGGAAGAGTTTGGCAATTTCAAATATTTGTTAACTTTTGATCAATTAGTTTCAACAAATATAATTTTTTTGGCCAATTAGATATCCCTTGATTGTGTCAAAATTAGAATATATGCACTTTTTTTTTCATCTCAAGTTCTATTGCAAACTGCAAGGGTGTGATGTCCATTTTTTTTCTGCTCTACCGCCTGTCTGAGTTATTTTGGGAGAGGGAGGTGGTTGGTACCAAATATCCCTCTTTGTTGGCTGTGAGGGTTTGGTTTTTTACAAACATTACATATTTTAGGTTTGGTCAATTAGAATATTCAGGATTGATTTGACAAATTATATTTTTCACCAGGTTTGAAATAAGCTGAAATAAATAAAAATGTTTTAAATTTGGAACAGGAAAAGTAAGAATGACTTGATGTGGTACTTCTATGACAGTTTTTGTGGGTTTTCAGCCAAAGAAAAGTAAGAATGATATTTTCTACATGCATTTTATTTAAACATTTCACAGTTGGTAACAATAAAATAGTAAGTAAACAAAAAAGAACAATAAAAGCCAACATTTTCCGAATCCACGAATCACAGAATTATCACATTGAAATCACAACTCTCCTTAACATTACAAACAACTAAACAATAAATATTCACATTGTTAATATTTATTTATTCAAAAAAGGAAAAAATATTTTTAACTTCATAATGACTATACTAAATATAAATGTTAACAGTCAGATGCTTGTAAAAATAATTTAAATGTACAAATCCGGGCTAATTAACTCTAAATAAACTATATATTTTAGTTCCCAAACAAGTTTCACAGAGTATAAATAATTCTAATAAAATATTATCGTTTTTAAAAAAACATTAAGGTAACAGAAATAATTAATAACTCATTATCATTTAGATACTTTCAATATAACTTTTTTTCTTATTTAATGATAACTTATTACAGTAAGGTAAAGGTCCCGCGTTCGAATCCAATGGCCCCGCATTCCAACCCGACATTACAAATGTTTTTTTTTTCTCAAAATCAACGGCACCCAAAGGATCATATAACCTCGTAGTTGAAAAAAAAATCATGCTTTTAAATCTCTACATATTAGAACTTATCTGATAATATTGCCAAGGTGCCAAGACTACATTTCCTCATTTATTAATTTTGAATCAATCAATTTTACTTTATATTGCATAAATATTTTGTGAAGTATTTATCAGAAACTAGATAACATGCTACAACATTAAAAAAAGGTAAGGATTGTTAATTAAATTTTGGAAATCTTGCTGAACAGACTCATTATTAATTTTACTACTTTGTGAAATAGGACGTTTCAAAACAGTCTTGCTAATTTAAAAAAAAATCAGACCTACTTATTAATAAGACATACTTGTGGTTGGTGTAACATTTAGCAAGTTATATTTCTAGCCTTTGAACATGTTCTATGCACCGTTATTTAATTAATTTTAAAGCAAATTGCATAAACCTTGTTGTTTACGTGCAAATTTTACTTTCTAAAAATCACAATTTTAACATATATAATATCTTATACTTAAAAACAATTATATGCTGGTTAACACACAGTACCTTTATGTTATATACACATATATATTTATTTATATTTTAATACAGACTCTACAGTTTATAAAGTTTGTTGTTAAAATAACACTGCCTCACAAAAGTAATCTATCTATTAAAAAAATAATTTATATATTTATTTGTGTGTGTAGGTGTCGTAATAAAAAGTTGTACATAAAAAGCAAATTTTAGTGCTACTGTACATCTTTTTCATTAGGCTAAAACATTTTATATGGTCTTTATATATTTTGTGTCTTATGCAAGAGCATGTACATATATTTATCAAAATTTAAATATTTTGATTAAATGTATTAACGATATCGTATAATTTCTTAATTGCATTGCATATCTATCGACAAGTTAAAAATATCAAGAAGCCTACATTTATTTTGTGCACTCATTTGTAGTAACATCACTACTTTTTCATTAAGTTTTAAATTCATACGGTTTAATGATAAAAATGTCATCACATAAAGTGATTTCTATCTGTTTTAAACAGCTCAGCATATATAAAAGTTGTGAAATAAGTGATTCTAATAGTTTAAAATTCTTATTAGAAAAAAATCAATTGTATTTTTTATTTATTTTATATTTTTATTATTCCATATAATATAAATTTCTTGGTTTTCTTTTTGTTGACTTTTTATATTTCTTGGGCTTCTTTTCAGGTACTAGACAACCACCAAATGAAAATGAGTTTGATGGTTGTCTAGTTCCTGAAAAGAAAACTAAGAAATATAAAAATAATACAACCGAAAAAAGAAAAGTTAAAAAATTATCATATAATATAAAGTTTTACAGCAAGTAGACTTCCAGTAAATTTAGGACAGCTTACCCTACCCTTAAGGATCTGATTGGCTGAAGAAGAATTATTCAAAATGTTTCATTGAGACAACTGTAAAAATCAGTATTAGCAAAATACCTGAGCAATGTAGCTTCTGCAAGGATTGACTATAAAAAAAGAAAAAAAAAAGTTGAGCCGGCTCAGTTGGGATTTTTGGATTTGTTTTTTCAATGCGGATACTGGTGAATTCCATGAGCCGACATATTTATAAAACCGTGTACACAATTAATTTTAAATCACTGCTCTCTTATGGTCTAGTGTTTTGGTAAATAGTACTGCCATGATTAAGGTGTTCTGAACCCCTCAAAAAAAAAATTTCACATTATGAGTGGTGAGGAATAAGGCACTCTTGCCATCAGCTTTTTGTAAATAACAAAATAGACTCTAACCTGCCAAATGCAAAAAAATCAAATCCTTTTCCCTACTATTTTGTCAATTCATTCTTATAATTCTTGCTCCAAGAATGATTTTAGATCAGGTCGTTATAATAGTCAATGGTCTAATAAATGTGTTTGTGTTTCCCACATGGGAACATACATTTTCAAGGAAATGCTAATATCAAAATGATTAATAGTTTAATCTTTTCAAGTTTTAAATGGGCTTTGAAGATACATTTATAAGGAAAATCCTATTATGATCTAAATGAATTTTTTAGTCCTTCATGGCCATGATACATTTTTGTGATAATTTAATGGTATTAATTTATTTGCATTTTAACGAGTCTACATACAATGTACAATATGACAATAAATGATTTTATTCTAGTCTAAGAGCAAAAAATAAGTACAAGAACCGCTACACTCCTTGATAAATAGATTATGCTCCATAGAATGAGTGCAATGTTTATAACAAAAAGTGGACAGTAATAGACAATTATTCACAGGCATTGACAATTCACAATGTTAGAAGTGGTGAATGATGGAGTGAGTGCGGTGTACAATCCTTTTTTTAAAAAAGATTCATAATTTTGTCAAGTATTGTCCAATTAGAACAGTTTTTAGGTTTGGAATTAGAATATTCTTCAGATTTGAAGTCGATTTTAATATTTGACAGGTATGGACAAATTGAAATATTAATGAGGTATGACAAAATATAATTTGATGCAAATCCAAATGACAAGACTCCAACAGAAAAAATGCAGAAAATTGAGAATTTTTTACCTAACAGGATGAATGAGGACATTTTCTAGATTCAGTGAACACAATTAGAATTTTGTCGGACTTGGGCAAATCAATATTTGTAGGGTATGACAAATTAGAATATGTCATGCGTGAACAAAAGCAATTTTAGCAGATCCATGTGATGAGAACAAACCAACAGAAAATTACACTTTTTTTTTCAAAAATGTATGAATTAGGACATGTTCTAAATTTGTACAAACTAGAATAATCTTCAGATTTGAACACAATTAAAATTTTGTCAATTATAGGCAAATTAATAGCTGTAAGTACGGACAAATTAGAATATTTGTCAGGTATGAAAAAAATAGAATTTTATGCAAATCCATATGACGAGACGTCCAATAGAAAAAAAACAGAAAATTAAGATTTTTTTAACGATTGCATAAATTAGGACACTTTCCAAATTTGGAAAAACTAGAATATTCTTCAGATTTGAACATAATTAGAATTTTGACAGGCATGGACAAATTAAGATTTGTCAGGTATGGATAAATTAGAATTTGTCAGGTCTGAACAAATTAGAAAATTTGCCTGGTATGAACAAAATAGAATTTTATATAAATCCCTATGACGGGACATCCAACAGAAAAAATGCAGAAAATTGGGAATATTTTAGTCCAACAGCTCTTTATGACAAAAATATGATGAAAGACTGGAGGAACTAAGCAAGTAATTAATTTCGGAGAAAAACTGAAAAGTGAATAAAAAAATATTCACAATAACAAGAAACAAACAATAAGAAAGAAAATATTTATCAGCTGTTGATAATCAATGATTAATTATGTCTGTAAGGGAGTTCACCTATTAATTTTATTGACCTCCTTTTCTCAAAATTACCGACTCTTTGTCAAAGCGAAGAATGTATAAAGTCTTATAAGCATTTTGGAGCCTATTACTGAACAAATATCTGAGTATTTGCTATAATTGTTATTTTTCTTTAAAAACAAAAATATTTTCTGACGACTACATGTTGTTTCAATTTTTCAAGTTATTTTGTTCTGCAGTCATACAATGGACTTGATTTCAATTTAAGATGATCCTTTCAATCAGAGAAATACAGTGTTGTCTTTATTTTATTTCATACAGAGAAATAATGTTTTTGAGAGATATTTTCACCTAGCTATAACAATGTGAAAATACAAGAGTTAATGATATTTTTTCTGTTAGAAATGACCCTGTTCAAAAACTTTTTATGAAATAAATCTTGTGAATAGAATATATATCTTTTCTTTGTTAGTTTAATATTTTTTAATTTGTCTTGAAATCACTGGCCTCTTGAAATTCTAAAAGTTAACTTTGCAATAAAATTAAACTATTAGGAAAGTGAAATTTATAATTTTATTTGTACCACATTATTTCTACTTAAAGCCAGTTACACGAGGCGGCTTTTTAATAGATTTTAGGGAATTAGCAACTATAATATATTATAAGGGATAATAATTGTTATGCTAATTACATACACATAAAAAAGTGTTTTAAATGCATTCCACGTTGCTTTATTTTAATCATGCTTGTTATGTAATAGAAATATTTATAGTGCATCTTGACACTTAAAAAAAAATATATATATAAAAAAATATAAGTAATATAAAAATTAAACTGAGCAAATGAGATGCACCATCAAAATTAGTTACTCCATGTTTATATTAAGAATCATAGTGCCACTTAACTTGACATAAATGTATTGATCTGTCAAAATCAGCACAAGCTCATCTGTTTTCAAATATAGGTGAATCTTGAATTATCGCACCAAAGCTAAACAAAGTAATTGAGAATTGAGACTTGTTCAACACTTTGTTAAATTCCAATTGAAGTGATTTTCTTTCTTAAACTATTTTTTAATATTAGCCTGTTGCGCCTTATTATTTATTTTAGTCTGTTTTCAATTTAATCGCTGCCGATGTTACCACACATCCGGCAATGATTTGAAAGTACTGCATCATTTCAACAGGCTCTGCATTACTGCCATGGCAGACCTCTTGTATCCATCACCAAAATGATTCCTAATAAATTGTATAGCAAACAAAATAATTAACCAATTCTGTTTTTATAAAATAGAATACTAACCAGCCGTTGAGATAATGAAAAAGAGTATACAGCCTCTGCCTTCCTTCAAATCCTGGTGTTTTTGGTATTATTTTATGATAGGCGTCATAGAATCCCTTTGAAAATGTTCCAAACATGCCCGATATGGCTAGGTCGTATTCATGATGCCCATAAAATGCAGCAGGATCAAACATGACTGAAATACATCTCATGTGAAAATAGATATTTATAAATTAAAAAAAAAAAAAAAATACCAGGATGGCGTTTTGTTTGAGCAACATTTCCACTCCACAAGTCACCATGTAATAGAGAAGGTCTAATTTTCTGATCTTTGAAAAATTTTGGTACTATGATCTGAAGTCTTGACCACATCTCTATAGCTTCCCTGTCACCTTTCTGTTAAAACAATAGAATGAAATTTAAAAAATTAAAAACAATCAAAGACTATTCATACTGAATGATTTGAAAACCTACTTCTTTTTCTAGCAGCCTAAATTGGTAATCCAACCGGTTTTGAGAGAAAAAATTCTGGAGGAGATTAAATCAAAAATTAAACAAGAGAGGGAAGAAAGAAGCATTGAAAGAGAAACCCTTACCACCCAATCTTCGTTCCATTCATTTTCTTGGGGAATGTAGCCACAACAAGTGGTTGTGTGGAAGCCGAACTGAGCTACATAATCAGCCTGCGGTTTGTCGGTGATCCGGTTTGACCGACTCTCTAATAAAACGTTCTGCATGTGCATCTTTGCCAAATCCTCGCCAAGCCTGGATGAAAGACTTCTGAGACCTTTCATCTCGATGAACTCCATGACTAGACAGGCCCCTCCTTCTGGATTGTCCAATACAATTATTGGCTTTGGAACTGTGACAATGTTGGTTGCAGCCAGGGCTCTCAAACCCTCCATTTCTCCATCAAACATCAGCCTTGCCTAAAATGATGTTTTTATTAGATTTTTTTTCAATTTTAACAGTGAATAAAGAAATGCCGACTACAGACATATTATGGTTTAAAGATGGCTCTACGACTGAGTATGGATATGGGGTGGTGTGGCTACAGAACTACAGAACAGAATTGCATCAAGGACAGAGGTCAGATCCCAGGACAGACATTGAGGGCAACAACAAAATTACCCTGATTTGGGAACCAGGGCATTCGAGCAAAGGGACGAACAGGAAGCCAATAAATTGACCAAGGAAAGTTCGATGAACACCTTTTGGTTCCCAGCCTTTTAGCAGCATACCAAATAGCTAAAAACATAGATCCTTCAGACAATGGGTTAAAAAAAGTTCCCTATCTAATGGGATTGTATTCCAGGACAGACATGTGAAACATTAATAAATAATTTATTAAACAACCACCAAAGAAACTAATGGCAAAACAAATAAACCTAGGCTGTATTAGGACTAGAATGGTAGTAGGATGAATGACTGGATACTACAGACTCCAGAGGCATATATACTTAGAGCTGCAGAATCAAGCCTGTGCAGTTAGGAAGAAGTAACAGCAGATCATGTCTTCTCTAGTTCTATACAGGCTGAGATTCGTACTCCTCAGAGAGGAAAAACCAAGGTATGAAGGAAACAGCTTAAGCTTTGGGATCTTTTGGATAGTTAATTTCCTAGGTTTTCCTTCACAACAAATCTACAGAACACTTCAAAATGGTAGTTTGGACATTTCTGATCATTTGGGTCTGCCTATCCTTGTTATGTTCCTTAATTAAATATGCCATAAGGCAGAACTGTATCTATCAAACAAAAATAGTGAGGATAGGGATACTGATGAGAGCTCATTCAATGTAAAACAATAAGTTGAAAGATAAACAAAAAAGAGGTGTTTTCTTTCTTATGATTACTTTTGACATGGTGGTATACCTGAAGTATTCTTTTGATCTTGTGAAAAACAGTACCATATATTTNAGTTTAACTTCGTTGAGGAACTTTGGATGTCCAGAAGTATGTGAAGAATGAAGAAGCTGTTTATTTCGAAATGTTACATTACTTGATGTAGTATTTATTAAGAATATTCCGTGTAGACTTCTAGATATTGTGTCCCCATGTTTCGTTATTGTGTCGATTTCTTCTTTGAGAAAGCTGGCTAAATATTGATTTAGTTCAGCTATCCAGGTTACATAGTTGTCGTCTAAATTGATGCTAGTGTATTTGCAGGATGTTGTATCTCCTGTTAATACGATTTCTTTCTCACAGTTGTTCTCTTCATGATTAATCAATTGCGTTGAGCATACAGATATTGATTGAAATTTTTTACAATTATTGTCTAAAGGTTCAATATTTAGTTTATTTGAGTTCGCTCTTGGTTTCAGTAAATACTTTACATTTGGAACAATTGTTACAAAATTAGAGTTATGTGTTGTTGGTACTGGAATTAGTTTATATAAATCATACATTTGTTTTCTTACTAATGGTAATTGTAAAAGATAAATAATTTGATTGTTTACAATTTTACATTGTACACTAATTAAATTTTCAAATTCAAAAATGTTCCTTAAACTTACTTCAAGTGGTAATTGATCCTCATAATAAGTAGAAATTCTAGTAATTTCCTTAAACAATTCGTGAGGAGATATAATACTAGGGTGTAAAGTCTGTAGTTTACAAAATGTTAATGAGTTTTCAATATCCTCTACTATATTTAATAGTATTTCATAAGTGATATGCAATAAATTTGTTGTATCTCTTAATTTCTCTAATTCAATATAATTGTTTAATTTTTTATTTACAGCTAAAATTTTCGATTTTAGTTCGGCTGTATTTTCTTCAACTACTGTTAATGATTTATTAAATTCCTCAATGAGTTCATTGATTATTGAATATTGCAAATTTATTTGTTTCTCAAAATTAATTTGACTACCTTGTACATTTTCAATATCTTTATTAAATTGAGCTCCATCGTAAGAATCTAGATTACCTGTAATAAATTTTATGATGGATCCTAATCCATTAATCAAACCTCTTTTAGTTCTAATATTGTTAGTATTTTTTACAAAAACTATTTCTAACTTTTCTAATATTATTCCTCTAGTATTATTTATTAATACTAAATAAGTTACAATGTCTCTTAATTTTCTACCATTATCAGTTACATATTCTACATTAATTTTATAGCTAATATTCTTATTATTAATACAGATATATACTTCATCATAAATTTTATCCAAGTTGTGTAATTGTTGAAACAATAGGTCAAATTTAATATAATGAATGAAAGTATGTTTTGACGTTTCCAACCTGGCTGGACCAAGATTTATGGGTATTATCCCAGGGTTAAGCGAGATATCTATTATATCAGCTCCTGATGCGTTGATTCCAAAGAGAAGGAGGAAGGGCCTGCAACGTTTTCGCTTCGCATTAGTTTTCTTGGTCTTTTAATATTTGACAAGTGTATTTTTCCTACCGTGTTATAATGAGTTGGGACTATCTCTGCCGTTTTTAAATTTTTATCAACAGATTTTAATTTTTCCTTCTTATACTTATTTTTTGTTTTTGTTTGTATCTGCTTATTTTTAACAAAAACGTCTTCAGGGATTTCTGGCAGAAGTTCTCTATTTTTATTTAAATTTTCAATTAAAGAAGCTTTATTTGTTTTACTACGTTCCCTAATTTTAGAATACAACAATTTTAGTTTTTCTTTGTGATTAATAACTTTTGACTTCTTCGGATTACATTTCACAAGAGATATTTGAATTTGATTCACACAATGATTGATCGGACCTTCAGTTATTGGGATTGATAATCCTGTATTTCCTTCTGAATTTGAGTGTCTCGTTTGTTGTGAATCTTCGTCGATAATGATTCTGTTTTCATTTAAATTATCTTCATCTACGTTCACGAATGTGAAATCATTATCTATGGTGTCAGGCAAATTTAAGATTTCTCTTTCAGGAGAAGCTAAAATTGAATTCGCAAGGTTTTCCTCCCTTAGCTCTGGAAATTCTTCATAGAATTCATCTAGCAGGGTATATATTTCTTCATCATCAACCTTGGAATTATTGGGATGTTTACCTTTTACTATAGCCATATTTATTTGGACTCTAGATAAAGCATCCGCGTTTTGGTTCAATTAACTTAGGTTAAAGGATTCATCTACGGAATTTTTGGGTGGTTGTTCCTTAGCATCCATCTGGAAAACTCGTGATTTTTGAAAAGAGTTTCTTGTTGAGATGCTCATGGGTGTTTCTTGGTTACTTTGTGAAAATGGAGTGAAATTCTGTTTAATTTGTGATGGTTTGTTGAATTGAATGGGTCTTTGTGTAAATTCGTGTGGTTTGAAATTTTGTTTTTGATTTGTATTTTGTCTATGTTGTTGGATCGGTTGTTGGTCTATTCTCTGCATATACTGGAAGTCGTTTAACATTAACTTTTCAATGTCTGACAAGGTTTTAGGATTCCTAGTGGCTAGGTTATTTCTTAAAGGGTCTCTAAGACTACTTATAAAATTGGTGGCCACTACTTGCTCCTGAAATCTTATCAAATATAATTTTTCGTTGTCTGTACCGTCTTCCAGCTGTATTTTAGCTCGGAATAAATCAAACCTTTCCTTAATTTAATTTAATGTTCGCAAAGGGGATTTTACATTTAATTTCAACAGGTCAACCAGGATACTAGCTGGACCCTGCCTGTCTCCAAATTCAGTTAATAAATGTGATTTTAATGTTGACCAATCTTGGAAATTTAAATTTCTTAAATGTTCGTTGGCCTTATTTACTAGTTTACCTTTAATATGCATAAAACATATAGTTTTTTGAGGGTCTGATATTGGAGGTACTAATTCGGAAACGATATGTTGTGCCTCTTCAACCTTCATAATAAACTGTGTTAGTGTTTTTGGGTTGCCATCATAACTGGGGATGGCATCCAAAATAAATCTTAATTCCGCCAAGTTAGCCATGTTAGTGTTAAGAATAACAATAGTAATATTATTTTAAAAAAATTAAACAATTTTACAATAACAATAAAAATAATTGCTAAATTAAATTGTGAAACCAAGAGTTTTATAACATGCAATACAATTTATTTACTCACAAAATTTCAATCATTTCTGTGTAGTCGCTGATGTTCTTGAGTTGAATGTTCCCGATGAACGTGGTTTAGGATTTTCTAACTGTTAATACAGTAAAGTTCGTATTCATCGAACCCGAAAAGTGTCCTACCGACTGCGCCAGTTATGTGCNTATATATTATGCAGGGTGGGCAATCAAGACCCGAGGGGTTAAATGCCTGGGTAGACTCGTACCCCATCCCTAAAAGGTCCGGGGACTTGGTCGGCTCATGTGTCCTGCATAAATCTCTTGGACTTGTACACAAACCCCAAGATTTTGGACTCACATGAAGGCAAGCTTAAAATAAAATACGTAAATACAGTTTTTATTCTGTAATTTTTTTATGGTGAGATTTTTTATTACTCTGACAAAGACAATGATGCAAGCCTCACTCTGAGTGATCCAAGGAAAGGAAGTCATACTCTAGATAATTTTATTGTATTGAATGATTTATCAGAAGATACATATATAGACAAGTTTAAACTAAAACAAACAAATACAGTGTTCTCTTTTCAATACGTAAATAATGTTTACATGGTAATGCAGCTGAAGTTTTCTGTTAATCCATTTATGTTTTAGTGGTCAATTGACCAAGTTACTTCTTTCAATTAATTATTCTTTTTATTTAAGGTCTTGATTGAGATAAAATAGTCAGTGTCACGAGCAGGATTCGAACTCACGACCTTCGGCTAGATACACTGCTGCTCTACCACTTGAGCTATCGTGACTTCGATCCTCTCGGACACCAACTCTCCATCTCAACACAACCGTTCGAATGTTTACCCCTCCTTGCCATTTTTAAATGTCGTGTAATCAGGATTCAATTTTCAGCAAATTATGAAGTGGCCAAGGGAGCTGTTAATGAAGTGATATTTCTTTTACTTATCAAATATTAATCCATTTATGTTTTAGTGGTCAATTGACCAAGTTACTTCTTTCAATTAATTATTCTTTTTATGTAAGGTCTTGGTTGAGATATCCCGATATATCTCGCTCGTGACACTTGACTGTCTCAACCAAGACCTTATATAAAAAGAATAATAAGAAAAATAATATTATTTGAAAGAAGTAATTTGGTCAATAGACCACTAAATTTAATAGTAAAACGTAGTAAAACTTCACTAACAGCTCCCCATGGCCACTTCATAAGTTGAAAATGGCAAAAAGAGGGAAAAATTTGAACGGTTGTAGGTTGAGATGGAGAGTTGGCGTCCGAGAGGATCAAAGTCAAGATAGCTCAAGTGGTATAGCAGCAATGTATTTAGCCAAAGGTCGTGGGTTCGAATCCCGCTCGTGACACTGACTTTTTTTATCTCAACCAAGACTTTACATAAAAAGAATAATTAATTTTCTGTTAATCTTAACAAGGACAACGAAGCAAGCCTCACCTTGATTGATCCATGGAAAGGGCAGACATTCTTTAAATTATATTGTGTTGAAGAATCATCAAGTAGTTTGCTTCATATAAACATAATATTGTTTAAGTAAAAATATGCAAATACAATTTGTTTTATGAAATATTTTCAGTCGTGGCGCACCTGAGGTTTACCGTTACTCTTGACAAATACAGTGCCATTGTCTGTGATGTACGCCTCGCCCTGATTGATGCAGCCTCCTCCGCTCTGTCCCGTGATCTGTAGGGTCGTTGTGTCCAGGGCATTCTTGAGGAGCGTTTCCATCTGCATGTACTGCTGGGCCATCGGGCACGGCGAGTGCGATTGCATATTTCCTTTTTAATTGTACGAATCGAATAGAATCTTTGATGCGAGATGACTTTTAACTTTTTTAAAATTAATGTCAAGTTTGACAGAAAAAACAATGGACTTTTGTATATAGAACCGCTAGCCTACCTCCCTCTTTTGGCCTTCGATTCCACTTTCCAAGAGAACTCAATCAGGTAACGTCATGTAAACTTAAACGTCATTTTCGGGGGAAGGAGTAGAACCAAATATTCAAAGCCCTCGGACAAATACACCAGTATTTTTTCAGCTGAAATCCAAAAATACATCGCTCTCATGTCAGCCAGCAAGTGATCAAAGAATTACCCTCAAATATCTCAATAACTCAAAAATGGTGATCAATTGCAAAACTAAACTAAACAAATTAGTACGCAAAACTATGTTACATTCTCCTAGGTCCCAGGACAAAATTAAAGGTATGGAGATGTATTAGAAAGGGTGTAATATACTACGCCTTTTAAGAGCTCCCATTTTGTGCCTATTGTACACCGCTGTGTCCTATTTCATCAAGGAACTTATAAAAGTTCGTTTTGCCTAATGTACTGGACTTTAGAAAACAACTGAAATATATACCAATATTTATTTAGAAATTGTGAGATGCTGTCTGGTGTGATGTAGGTTTCAGAAAAACCTTTTCTTTATCGTGCCGTTTCAATCTTTATTGAGATCATCTTCAGGGCTCAAAGTGTTTGCCTTCTGTGTAATTGTGCCATTCTTGCGTGTCGTGTCGAGAGTGCCCATGCTAATCACTACACATACCAATAGATGCGACACACGAATACTTCGGACCTTATAAGGAATTTGGTTAGTAGGCCCGTTTTCAGTCAATGAATTTCTTCTACAAACACATTGTACATCCCAAAACTTCCTCCTGCGGGGAAGTGTAGCACCACAGTTTGTTAATAGGTGTGTTGGTGTCTCCTCTGCCTCTTTGCAATACATGGGCTGTCTTGGATTCCAATCTTCTTTCAAATTTGCAATGCCCTATTAAGAATCCTGTTAGGATTCACAGTTTTTTCCTGCTTCCTTTGATACATTCTGTCTCTTCTTTCCTTCTGAAATTTGTTAGAATGTTCATGGATTGTTTGGGTCCAATGAGTTAATTCCATTGTTCCCTCATTTTCTTTTTATTCTTCTGTCTGAGCTACTCATTGATAATCTGGGTTCCTATGCCACAGAAGGGAAATGAAGAAGCAAATGCCCTTGCAAGAAAAGGGGGTCTGCTGCACCTAACACCTCTGACGGTCCTTAACCCTATTGTGGTATAAGCATCAACACTAACAAGCACCTTAACAAAAAGATATGGTTTCAAAAAACCATAAAATTCAGTGACTAAACATAAACAATCCAAAAATTTTCTAGGGAGATTTGGAAGAGAGAAACAGCAGAATGCCTCAAAGGAAGCAGAAATAGACTGAATCCTAACAGGATTCCTATAGAGTACTGCGAACTTAATGAATATGTGGAAGACTGGTTAGGACAAAAAAAAGTAGCAGAAGAGACCAACGCACCTACTAAAAGACTGTGGTGCTACATTTATCTGAAGATGTAAATGTTTTGGGTTGAATGTAATTGTAGAAGAAATTACAACCACCAAAACAACTTAATAATAAAATTCAAATTCCCAAAACAAATGGGACTCACCAGTGTGCTATAAATAGCATAAAGGGCACAGTATGTCAAATAACACCGATTTTTTGCATCTACATCTCTATTATTTAAAATTAATTTTTTAGATCAGCCATTATCAAAGTGTAGAATAACTATGGAAAATTTCCTTAATGAACCCATAGACATATCAAATCTAAATCAATATTCAATTATGCAAGAGTATTTGTTTATATTTATGTACGCTAAACTTGTAGCATACTTGGCTTTTGCAGTTTTTAAACAATTTTAGATCAAATAACTGTATAATAAAGTGTAAAAAGTTGCAAGGGCTAAAATTATCATTGTAAAAATCTTTACTTGCTTCTATTTCTCATACTGAAAAGTTGGGGTAATAAATACATCATTTGTTGTAAAGAGTTATTATTTACTAACAAATTAATCAACAATGTATGTATTGAAGTCATTCTCAGCTTGCAATTGTGGAGTGGGATGAATATGTTGGTACAGGATAGAGGCTCACTTTAAGGGTCCAGTAACTTGCACATTTTGCATAGTTGTAATGCATGTATGTAATAATACAAAATGCAAACTTTTTTTAAACTCCTGTGTACATCTTGTAAAATCCACCTGATAATTTAACTTCTTTTTAGGCTAGCTATTCTCAATGTGTCCAATTTTGTAATTAAATGAGCATATCCACACAGGATTTTGGAAGAGTTTGGAAAAGTAAAAGTAGTAGTAAGTAGTAAAAGTACCCCAGTTAATGGGATAATTACAATAAAAAAAAAAAAAAAAATCAGTAGCTCAAATTTTAACTCTATGTATAAGTTAGGGATACTCAATCTCATATTTCTCACACTACATATTCATGTTTATAAATAACTTCACTCTCAATACACAAAATGGACAGTACTATATGTAATAAAACAGCCCTATTTCTTCCAAAATTGGAAAAGAGGAAGAATGCCATATTGGGTAGTATTCCTACACATTCTATAATGGGGCCAAGGAATGGCACCCTTCAATTAAATGGGACACATCGAGCAACCTTTCTCCACATGCTGGACTCTTACACAGACTTTGGCCCAAAAGTAAGTGTCCGTGTGCCAACCTCACATGAACTATTCTTAATCAGGTGATCCCTCTTCTATGATTCAGATCCTACAAGGGCCACCTATCAACAGTGAGAGCTTCAATCCATCGCACCAAAGATGCCACTTTATTTTAATCATATTGTAATTGCATTTGTAATGTTAAGAGGGAGGCCAGTTCTGTAGGTTGGGATGTCTCGGCCTTTGCTGTCTTCATTACCCACCAAACCTATATGCCCAGACAACCACCATTTTGCTGAGACACTAGTTCATGGTAACTCTGACAACAACGGGGTTGACAGAGGAACTGTCAAGTTCTGTGGTAACCGTGCTAAGGGTGTCAGTACAGGCCATAGTCCCCATTGCTATAAATCATCCCAAACACTTGCCAAATTGGAGAGGTCTGCCGTGTAAATGATACAGTGCGGTACAGGCGACAACAAAGTTCCCTTCTGTACAATAATGTTTATTCGTTTTTTAATCATCCATCCTTATATGCTAATGCGAATGTGTTGACTGAGTAACCCATCGACCCTCAATTAGGTTAATTATATAATAGGTGTAAATGTTGATCGAGGAATATCAAGTTCTCCACCACCCTAACTAAATAAAGGGTATGTAAATAGGAAAAATGAATTTAAGAGTAAGAAAGAGTGATGTATCTGGATCTAGGAACTGATTGCTTTGGATGCTGAAATTACCTAGCAATAGATAGCCTCTTTAGCCCAACCTCAGTTGCTGGATGGATAAGACCGAGGTCTGACCCTTGACTGCCAACACCCAGTGTGGGTGATTTTTGAGGTCTACCAAATCCATATATGATTTTGTTGTTTACAAAATAATGTAACTATATATGATTTTTATGCATATTTTAATCCAAAGTGAAAAAAATAAATTGAGAGAATAATACAAACACATTTATTTCATTTTCATGTGTTTTATAAAACATGTAAGAGATATTTTGTTGTTTCTAGTCATAATTCATACTTTTTTTGTTGTTAATAAATGGCTCTTCACCCAAGAGGCATTTAGATTGTAAATGTATTTTTTTTAACGTTCAAGATGGTGAAGCGTTAAACTCTTTAGGACAGGATGGATAATCGGAATTGGAATACTGGTATATATCTGTATTTGTAATTTAGAAATGTAAAAACAAACAATGAACATATGTCTATTGCAATGACTAATACGAGGTAGTTCAAATCAGGCTGAAAATATGGAATTCCCGTTAAGTGGACGAGGCCCCACAAGGAGAACACGAGACTTCTTAGCTTGGGTGGAGACTCAACAAAAAAGATGGTGAGCCAGGATATTTCTGTTATGGAATATCCAGCGACGAGGAAAATCACCTGTGGTGCCAGCCCGCATGAGCTGATATCGAAAGGTTCGACAAGAGTGAAGATTTTTCCTGATATGCCTAGATCCTTCACATCCAGAATGAAGACTGAATAAATCCCTCCTTTTCTAAAAACTGCACTGTTAGATAGATTGAAAGTATGTTTGCCAGTTGTGAATTTTATTTGGCAACGCTCGTCTTCCAGTAGGAGGCCAACGAAGTCATATTTTCTCTTGTAGACAATGGAGTAGTTTTTGCCACTGTCACAGAAGAAAAAAACAACACCTTTGACACTTTCATTTAAAGCAGATACGAGGAAAATTTGTGCCCAGGAATCATAGGTCATGACTTTCGTGTTAACAGGATCGTTGAACATCAACTGGCCAACATCGTTGGCTGAAATGACAATGGAGGAACACTCTCCGAGTATGGCTGATAAAGTCATCACTCTGTTTATTTCCATTCCTTCGAACCGAAAAGTGCGACGAACAGGAGATTCATTACCCATGATGTTTCTGATTGTCAACAAGTCATGTGGTAATATCGTTGCAGCGTTTTGTCTTTCTGCCGTGAGAAATACAGTTGAGTTCAGGCCATTGTACACCCTCAAAAAAGCGTTATCTTTCTTTGGAAAGTTGTCTAGGCGGTTCTGCAGCCGGGATTGGAATAACATCGCACTGATCGCTGAGAGGAACAAGAGGCAATAACCGAGATAAATTGTCTTATGTTCTGAATTGAAACCAGCGTATTTGAAAACCGGCAACAGTACGAATTCGGAGACGGTCACTCCAACAAAGAAGAGCAAGGACTGGACAGTGTTTCCTTCAAATTCCATCCAAAATTCATTAAGCAGTTTAGCTTGGTGCACTGTCATAGTGTAAATAATCCTCCACATCACTGAAAAAACTGCATGCAGTATAAATATTATAATTATATAGCACATTCTTTTTGTACCGTCTTTGACAACGTAGTGTGTGGAAGAGGTTTGACGACCATGCAAACTGCTTCGTTTTTTTCTCTTTCCGAGCAGCCTTTTTAAAGAGAAGAATGCACATTTCTCAACTATTCCGGTGTGAATCCTTTCACAGACGATTTCTTTTGTTAAAAATGACAATGCAATCAAGACAAGCATGTTCAACCATATGAAAACAAATCTGTAGATTGCAAAGTTCGAAGGCTCCTCATTCATGTTGTAGTCCGTTAGGATAAAGGATATCCGCCA